GGGCAAGGTGCGGACGGCCGACATGGGCGGTGAGTGTGGGGGGGGGGGGGGGGCGAGCGCGGGAGCGATGCAGCATGTGTGCTCGGGATGCGGATGGCGCGTCTTTGCTAGAGCATATGCTGAGACGAGCGTTTTGCGCACACAGGCAACAGCAAGACGGCCGACTTCACGCAGGCCGTCATCAACAACTTCTAAGTGCCGCGCCGTGCGGACTTCCTTGCCTTCGCGCGCGCGTGGGGCGCACGCGCGCGCGAGCGAGAGAAAGGGGAAGCTGAGCAAGCCGAGAAAGCAGGAGGCTACTGCCTGCGACTCGGCGATGGGTATAGATAGGGAGCCGGGACGATCAATGACGATCTGCCTCTCGTTTTGCCGAGCTGGAAGAGACAGAGTGATAGAGACGCACGCGAGGAAGCTTGAGCACACCTGGCGCTCTCGAGGGGAGGAAGCGCGAGCGACAGGGTGAGCATGTGGGAGACGCGCGAGGCGAACCCGCGCGCGAGAGTCTCGCTAGACAGGTGCATTGCGTGTGTCGGTAGCAGCTGCGCATCGCACGTCTCTCCGCCCGCCCATCTACGTGCCCTCCGTCTTTGCGGCGCCCGCACTGCCCTCCGGCGCCCTCTCCGGCGGCGCAAAGCGTCGCCAGTAGCGCGTGATGGCGGCGAGATAGGCCGCCTTGTTCTCCGGCTCGGCCTTGATGGTCTTCTTGAACATCTTTGCAATCTCCATCGTGCTCGTCACCTGCGGATTGCGCTCCATGACCTCCATGACGTGCCGCTCAATGTCCGACATGGGCGCGTTGCTGCGTCGTGCTGCTGCTGCGGCGCCACCCTCGCCGGCGACGCCGGGAGAAGAGGCGCGCGAGCCGGAGGGCGACGCCATGGGCGAGGCGCGCGAAGTGGAGCCGGCCGTGGCGGTGCGTGCTCGCTTGCTGCCGTCGTTGTTGCCCGAGCCGCTCGAGGAGGGCACATGCTGGCCGCCGCCCGGCGCCTCGCTCTTGCGCTTCTTCGAGCCGCTCGGCGAGCTCGGCGCTGCCGCTCCAGCAGCCGCTGCGCCTGCACTGGAAGCCATCGGACTCGTGGCACGGCTGCCCTGGCTGGCCGTCGGACTGCCACTGCGGCTTGCGTTCCTGCTCTTGCCGCCCGCAGGCCGCGCGAACGGCGACGTAGCTCGCTGCGCCACATTCGCATGTCCCGCGCCCGGACGATGCGTGCCGCCTCCTGCTGCACCGGGCGCCGAAGCCTGTCGTGCCGTCTGTGCTGCGCGTGCAGCAGCATGCGGCGCCGCACTGGCATGTTTCTCATGTCGGCCCACGGGTGTCGATGCGCCACTGCGTCGTGCTGCAGCTGCAGCTGCCGCGGCTGCTTCCTTCTCCTTCTCCGCTGCAGCAGCAGCAGCAGCAGCCTGCTCCTCCTCCAGCTTCTTGCCGCCATTCTTGAGCCGCTCGCGCTCCTCGCGCTCCTTCTCCTCGCGCACCTGCTGCAGCGCTCGCTCCGGATTGGCAATCGCCGTGTCCTCCGTGTCCGAGTCCTGCGGAAAGATGTCAGCTTCACTGCCCCGCTAGCCTCTGCTGGCTGCGCGCTCACGTCGCTGAGGTAGGGATTGACGTCTTCCTCGTACGCCTCGTTGCCCTGGTTGCGCGCCAGCGCCCGCACGATCTTTTGCATCTGTCTCCCCGAGCCTGTCAGCTGGTCGTCCGTGCGTCTTCCTGGCTCCGGCCCGAAGAGATCATCCTCCTCGTCGTCCGATGCTTGCTCCGCCCGCGCCATCTCCTTCTTCATGCGTTCGGCCAGCTCGTGCGTGTCGGCGTCGCCGAGGTCGTACTCTTCGCCCTCGTTGTGGTCGTCGTCGTCGGCCATCTCTTCCTCAAAGTCGACCTCGCCGTACGTGCCCTCGTCCTAGCTGCCATCAGCCTGGCTTTGCAGCGAGCGAGCAATGCGAAGCAGCTCACCTGGTCCCGCCCTCTCCTGCCACGATCTCTCGGCGCGCCGTCGACGGGCAGCGGCTGTCCGCGAGCGCGTCCGCCGAGGTTGTTGAACGCGCCCGGCAGCGCCAGATGCTTCCACTCGGGCACGGCGGCAAACTCCTCGTCGCCCTCCTCCTTCTTGACGCGCTGCCCGGCGCCTGCTCTGCTGCTGCCGGCGCTCGAGGGCCCTGCAAGGCCAATGGGATCATCGCCGCGCGCACGCATCATCCAGCGCGAGGCGCCGTCGGAGCGAGCCTTCTGATGCTTCTCGAACTGTGCGCAGGGCGTCAGCATCGCACGCACCTCTGCGTGCATGGGCCACAAGACTCACCTCCTTCTCTGCCTCCTCCCAGCTGATGGCGTTTGCGTGCTTCGGCTTCTGCAGGAAGCGGTAGCTCTTCGTCACCGGCACGACGCGGAAGCCGCCGTCGCCCTCGGCGTCAAAGACGAAGAGCACGTGGTTCTCTCCGTCGTCTGCGTCGCCCTCCAGCTTGCCGATCCACGGCGCATGGTTTGCGTCCTTCTTGCGTGCCGCAGCAGCCATCTGACTGCCCTCCTCCATCTTCTCCTCCTTGACGAGCTCCTCTGGCTTCACGTCCAGCACCGAGGGCAGCCCTTTGCTTCTCGCCTCGAGCGCCTCCTGCAGCGCATTGATGCCGCTGGGCGGCGCACTGCGCGCCGACGTCCACTCGCGCGGCGTGTCAAAGTCCTCCAGCACCCACGGCAGCCGCTCGTCGTTCCAGGTGCGCCGTGCCACCGCAGAGGCCTTGTGCACCTCCTTGACGCGCTTCTGGAACAGCCGCGCCTTGTTGCGCTGCGACACGTTGGAGAGCGTCGGCGCGATGAGCGAGGCGTCCGCCGAGGGCCCTCTGACGACAGGAGCGTGAGAGTCCGGCAAGACGAGTGGCGCATGCCGGCCGCGCAGCCGCCGCTCGACTGCACTCCACTCACTTCTCCTGCTTCGTCTTTGCCAGCAGCTCCTCGAGCGCGCGGATCTCCTCGTCGTCCTTGGGCCACTTTACGGGCACGGCCTTCTCCTTGCCGAGCAGGTCGTTCGGGTCCGGCGCCATGATGACGAGTGGGTTGCCGTAGCGATCCAGCACGGGATCTCCTGGCTTGGGGTTGGGCGCCTTGAGCTTCGGCGCGCCCTTGCGGTTGAGCTTGAGCGGCTGCACGAAGGGCGCGGCACGCGGATCGACGGGGAACGAAGAGGCAAACTTGAGCAGATGCGTCTTGCTCTGCAGGAAGGCAGGCTTGCACGACAGCAGCGGAATGTCGCGGTAGCCCGTCGGCGCTGCGGCGGCGGCAGCGGCGGGCGGCGAGGCACTGCGCTTCTTGATGCCGCTGCTGCTGCCGCTGGCCTGTGCGGGCTTGACGTCGCTCATGGCGGCGTCGGCGTCGGGCTTGGGCGGCATGGCGCGGCGAGTGCGCGCAGGGTGCGCCGTGAGAGGCAGCGGCTGAGCGTGGTGCGGAGGGTGTGGTGGTGAGGACGACCGACGAGCGGAGCTGGGCTGCTGAGCTGCTCCTTGCGCTCGCCGGCGGCCCGCCCGCTGCTCCCACGCTGCTTTCGCTGGCCGACTCCACTTTTGGGGCCACGCGCCGCTCAGCGCCGCCGCGCCTCGCTCCTTCTCTCCTCCCTCCATCATCTTCGCCCATGCCGCGCCAACGCATCCCCGCCTCGTCCGAGGCTTCCTCGGACGACGGAGCGCCGGCGACATCGCTCCCTCATCCGCGCACCGGCATGATCGTCGAGGTCGTCGTGCCCGTGCGCGCCGCGCCGCCGACGCACTCAGACGCGTACATGCGTGCCATCCGCGAGCGCGTCAGCGCGAAGCGGGCAGCCAAGGCAAAGAAGGACGCTGCAGCAGGAAAGAAGGGTCAGGCTGCGTCCAATCAGGCGAAGAGCGCAGGGAAGCAGAAGAAGGGCAAAGCGGCCATGTGAGTACATGCGATGATGATGCTAGTAGACGCGACGTGGGGAATGGAGCTGCCAGGACGGCGCTGAGGGCGCTGAGCAGCGCGTCGCGCTAGCGAGACGCAGCTTGCGAGCCGATGGGCATGCCCTAGCGAGGCGCACTTGAGTCGGCGCGCGACGTCGGCGCAGCCGTCTCGCCATCTGCTGCAGAGGAGTCGTCGGGCTGCGGGCCACGCTCACGCCCGTCCACGAAGCAGCATCGAAATCTCAGACGACCCAGCGAGCTCTTCGGACGAGATCATGCCGCCCGCTGCGCCCGTCGCCTCCTCGTCGCGCGTGCAGCCGCAACCGCAGCCGGCACGCACGAGCGCGTCGAAGAGCGCCACGCCTGCTGCGATGCAGCCACGAGCAGCAACATCAGCAGCAGCGGCGGCGGCGGCGGCACCTACGGCGACGACGAGCGTCGCAGCCTCTGGCACGCCGGCTCGCGCGGCGCCGCTGCGCGCTCAGCATGTCGCCTCACCCATCGCGCACGAGCGCAACAACGGGCTCTTTCGCGGCGCGCTCTCGTCGGACGAGGACGACGAAGCCGAGGTGGCTGCCGAGCTTCCTAGCCGAGCAGCAGATGCGACTGCCGCCGCGCTGCTCTCTCCTTCGCCGCCACCGCTGCTGCAGAGCCTCGCGCCGCCGCCGATCGAGGACTCCGATGAGGACTCTGACGCCGGGCCGGTCGTAAAGCGCGTCAGGACGGCAAAGGAGCGCGCTGTGTCTATCTCCTCCGAGGACGACAGCGACGACGCTCCGGCACCGCCTCGTAAAAGCAAGGGCAAGAAGAAGCAGCGCGCCGGTGGCTCGTCGAAGAAGAAGCGCGCAAAGAGCTCGAGCTCGAAGGAGAAGAAGAAGAAGCAGCGCAGGAAGGGCTCGGATGATGATGATGATCTGCGGCAGGACCTCAATGTGTGAGCTCGCGGCCGGCGCGAAGAGAAGCATGGCCCTGCGTCGAGCAGCAAGCTCATGTCGTGCTGACACGTGCCTCGCACAGCGACAAGTACGTGGCGAGCACCTCAGGCGCAAAAGCGAAGCGCGAGAGGGAGAGACGCATGGCCTTCTTCCAGCGGAAGCGCGAGCGCAAAGCCAAAGGGCTTTCTTCCGAGGAGGAGCCAACGTCGTGGTCCACTCCTTCTGCGTCCAGCGACGACGACGACTCGTCCGACGACAGCAGCAGCGTCTCCGACTCCTCGTTTGTCAAGTCCGACGACGCCCTTCCGAACCCTTACGCGCACCCTCCGGAACGCGTCAAGTCGAGGAAGGAGAAGGCGCTCTTCCCGGCACGGCCGCGCGGGCCGGATCGCAGCGGCCCGTCGTCTCGCAATCCGACAGGAGGACAAGCTAGCGTTCTCGAGGGCACCGGCCTCGTGCGCATGACGACGCTGCAGCACTGTCAGGCGTGGGTGCGCTGGATCACGCTACGGCTTCTCGGGACGGACGCGAGCGGCGACGCCGTCATGGCGATGGCGGCATCGCGCGCGCGGCTGCAAGAGCTCGTCGCAGGGCACTACAAGGCGCTGACAACGCAGACAATGCGCCGATCCTTCTACTGGCATCTCCGCCATTACGGGCACTTCGAGCGTCGGCCGGTGTCGTCAGAGGAAGAGGGAACCGGCTGCGCCGCGTGCGGCAGAGCCTCGCATCCGCGCGACAGCTACTTCACCTTCTCCGGCCGCTTCTACGACCGCGACACGCTGGCGTGGCTCACGCCCGAGCAGGACGGCAACACGTCGTCGGAGTGCTCGACGAGCGGAGAAGGGAACCACGTCGTCGAGCGCCGCGGGCACGATCCCAAGACTCGCACGCGCAGCTTCTATCTCGGCGCCTCCTGTGCGCTCCGCGCAAAGCTGATGCACAGTCTTGCGCACTGGGAGTTCCACGCCATGCGCGCCGTCAAGGCCAACGCGGCGTTCAAGCAGCTCGTCAAAGACGTGCAGGACCAGCGCCGCACGCCGAGCAGCGACGACATCGACAGCGTCGTGCAGTCGTACGCGCCGCGCCTCGAGCGCCAGCTGCGCAAGTTCGGCGACGAGAGCCAGGAGGCTCAGTTCAACACGGGCAGGTACAAGCACCTCAGCGCTCGCGAGCGCGACGGCTCGGTGTGGAAGGTCTGACCGTCCGCCGACTGGACGGTTCCCCACATCTCTCGGTCTCTCTCTCTCGACATAGCTCGCTCGTCACCTCAAGAATGCTAATCACTCACGTCACGAAGCTTCGAGCTCTTCCCTCCGTTCAGCTAATGAGAACCGCGTCATCCATTCCCCGCCTCTACCGCACTGCCGCCCGCCCTACTGCCTGCTCCCACCGCGTCGCGCTCCCTCGTGGCGGCCGTCGCCGAGCCCTCAGAGGCTCTTGCCCATACTGCAGCACGCGCGCACGAGCGGTCAGCTTCTCTCGCGCACCCGCAGTCGTGTCTCGCTTGACCACCACTCACAACCTCCGCTTCGTGAAGCTGAGCCACCACTTGCTCGGCTTGCCGTCGATGTACACCTTCTCCACGAGTCGTTGAGCGAGCTCGGTGCGCAGCTGCGTGAGGTACGAGCGGAGGTGTTCTGCCGCAGCGAGTCCGCCACATCAGCCTCTCTACTCTTCGCTTCTAGCACACTTCCATTCAGCGTGACTCACCGGCCTCAGCGCGGCTCGCAGGCGGCTGGTAGAGGTTGTTGAGCGGGAAAGAGGCGTCTCCGGGCAGCGAGAAGTTGTCGACGCTCAACGACTGCAGCTGCTTCGACGCCTCGTTCTGCGACATGGGCACGCGCGCACCGGCGATGCGCGAGAGGCAGTCGGAAATAAAGAGGATCAGGTAGATGAGGAGCTGTGGGGAACAAGGGTCAGCAGGGAAACAGCAAGGCGCGGCGAGGACGTGTATCGCGCCCAGAGGTGCCGGCATGCTGCAGGACGCCGAGCCAGGTCTAGCTTCCGCATGGACACAGAGTGCCGCGGCTGCAGCCAGTGAAGGCAGCGACTGCAGCCTGGTCGGATGGATCCCAGCTGTGGCGGCGGCATCCGAGAGCGTCCGTGCGCTCTGCCGATATGCCCCAGCCGGTGCGCATCACCAGCGAGTGACGCCGGCAGCAGCACGCAGCGCACTGAGCGAGCACGTCCAGGCCTGCCTACTTTGCAGACACCTCACATGCATCTGAGGCTCGCTGATGGTCATCCAGATGCGGATGCAAGTGCCCTTGGCCCGTGCAGCGCAGTGTGCCCGTCTTCGACCCTTCAGCGAGCCCAGCCGACCTTCTCCGGGCTTCGCGTCCATGCAGCATCCACGCTGCCTGCCGCTTCCATGCGCTCACTCACGCGATCGGCGCCGCCCTTGATCTCAAAGTTGCGGAAGAGGCAGTTTGCGCGGAAGAGGTCGATGGCCTCGTCGACGATGTCCATGGCGTCGGCATCGGCCAGCGGCGGCGCGGGCCCACGCACGCGGGTGCGGATGGGCAGCAGCGACATGGACGCGATGGCGCCGACGTCGGCGTCGTTGTAGGCGGAGTGGTAGGCGGGCATGGTGTGTGTGTGGAGGGAGGAGGTGATGTGGAGAGCAGGCAGGGAGCCCGAACACGCCAGTGTGGAGAGACGGCCGTGCGCACCGCATCCGCTGGCGTGCCGCACGTGATGAGGCGCGCGCAGCCGCGTCGCTGCTGGCAGGCACGCCGCGAGCGGCAAGGCACGCGCCCAGCGGAGCGGCTCCTGGACAGCAGCAGCGGAGTGCCGGCCTCGCTCCGCCTTTCCCACCTTCATCGCCTCATCCTCCTCCATCGCTAGCCCACTATGGCGACGCCATCCTGCGCCTCGCTGCGGCAGCCCATCCTCGCCATCCTGCGCGCCTCCGACCTTAGCTCCATCTCCGCCAAGAAGGTGCGCACCGAGCTGGCCGCGCAGGCGCACCTCACGCGCCTCGGCCTCGACGTCAGCAACAAGGCGCACAAGGCGGCCATCGACGAGGAGATCCGCGCCAGCTTCGCACAGCTCGACGCCGAGAACGTCGCGCGTGGTGCCGCGCCCATCGCGCCTGCCGCTCCGCCGCCGGCTGCGGCTGCACCGCCGCGGCCGCCGGGCATCGCACTGCCGGGCAACGGCGTGCGAGGCATTGCGCTCCCCGGCGCCGGCGTGCGCGGCGACTCGAGCGCGCCGCCGCCGGACAACAAGGATGCAGAGATGGCAAAGGCGCTGCAGGCGCAGTTCAATGCAGATGCAGCGGCCGGGCCGTCCACCCGAGGCGCAGCCAACGGCTCCAAGAAGCGCAAGAAGACGGCGAGCACGAGCAAGAAGGACGACATCATCTCCTCCGATGAGGAGGTGGGAGGCACGCCGTCGGGATCGAGGAAGAAAAAGGCCGCGAGCAGCAAGAAGAAGAAGACGACGAACGGCGAGGAGAAGCCGAAGAATCCGAACAATCCCTTCAACCGGCCCGTGCTGCTCAGTTCAGCCATGGCGGAGATCTGTGGAGGCGATCAGGTGAGTGCCGGCGGCCTGCGGGGGCGCAGATGCGGCTGCGAATGGCGCGTGTATGCGTGTGCTGATGCGTGCTCGCTTGCGTTCCCCCTGCAGATGCCGCGCTACGAGATCACGAAGCAGCTGTGGAAGTACATCAAGGACCGCAAGCTGCAGAACCCGAACAACGGGCGAGAGGTGCGTGTGCTGAATTGCTGGCAGTGCGAGGGCGGTGCAGAAAGCAAGAGGCGGCGAGTTCGGCGAGAAGGGAGAGACGAGTAGGGCAACGGGCCCCGGCGAGGCGCTGCACGGCGCACGAGGACGGCCATTTTGCGCAACCAGCCTTATTCTCGCCAGTGCGGCAAGCTGCGAAGGACGACACGCAGGCTCGAAGACTCTTGTTGACATGCTTCGTCGCCTCGTCTCTCCTTTGACAGATCATCTGCGACGAACGATTGACAGCGCTGTTCGGCAAGAGCAAAGTCGAGTGCGTAGGCCTTCTCTCTGTACATGCCCCTGAGTCTTGCTGACGCGCCGCGCTGTCTCGCACAGCTCATTCGGCATGGCAAAGGTGCCTACTCTCTCCCTCCTCCTCTGCCTGCCAGCGGGCTTCAGCTGATCTCCCTGCCCCTCGCAACAGCTCGTGAGCCAGCACGTCAGAAAGCCGGATGAAGCGTGAACGCGCGATCGCAAATCTCTGCCGGCCCCGCTCTCCGCATCTGCACATTCTCGTCACCGCCCGCTCTGCTACTTCATTCTTCATCCTTTCATGCCCTCAAGCTTTGCTCTGCCCAGCTCTCTTCGTCCCGCCCTGCTTCCGCCTGCTCAGGCATCGGTCATCCACGCCCTTCTCTGCCATGCACCTCATCCTCTCTTCTTCGCTCTACTAGCTCCCCGGGCCGAGTCTTCATCTGTCACGTAATGCCTCTCTCTGTCCATCTCCCTTCGAATCAAGCTCCGCTCGAAATCACAAGCTGCTCAGGCTGTCGTATGCATGAAGCAGCTGCGCAGCTGCGTTGCAGGCTCGCCGCGCGCTGCGAGCGCACCTGCCAGACGCAGCATCCTGATGTGCTGCTGCGATGGAAGCAAGCTTGCATTGCTCTGCTTTCCCATCTCGTCGCATCCCTCTGCCGCCATGCTCACGGCTCGACCTCTGCGCGATGGTCAGCATGCAGTTCGTCTGCGACAACGCGCGGCTGCTGCTGCCTGCACTCACCGCCGAGGATGAGGCTCATGTCGAAGGAGCACGAGACGACGATGGGCTCTTTTGGATGGTACGCCACAGACGGCACGCTGCCCTTGTGTCCCGGCAGCTGCAGGAGAGCGAAGCACGTACGACACGCGCTGCTCGTCAGCGAGGAGCTCCGCAGCTGCATGTGTCACAGTCTGGCAACGCACCTTGTACACCAGCTCTCCCGTCTCCGTGTTCCACAGACTCATCGTCCCATCTCCACCTCCCGCAATGACTCTCCTGCCGTCTGGTGCCCACGCTCCGCGAATCAGCACCTGCTCAAAGCCAATCGGCAGCCCCGCGAGCGTGCGTATCAGGCGTGGCGCGCCCACATGACCGGGCGCAGGCTCGGGCGCGAAAGGCCGCACGTCCCACAGACGCACGGTGCCGTCGGCACTGGTCGAGAGCAGTTGCGTGCCTGAGGGAGATAGCCGCGCGCAGAGGACGGTGTCGGTATGCCCTCGCAATGAGAAGACAATCTCCTTCTTCGCAAGCTCGTAGACCTGGCGCGAAGAGAGCAGTGAGCGGCCCGAAGCTGGCATGAGAAGGCCCAAGTCTCATGCACTGAGCGGACCCGCAGTCGCGCCTCAGCAGCACGATTGCTACGGCCAGCAGGCGAGTGCGCCAAGGTGCGCGGTGCGTGCTACCTTACAGAGCTGCTGCGCGACAGGAGAGAAAGTCGCCTGAGTCGCCTGCAGGACATCCGAGCTTCCCTTCACATCGAGGCCCCGGCGCCAGCAGCTCCCAACGACTCCGCCTGACCGCTGCAGCTGCTCTGGTCGACTCACGTGAATCTCGTTGTCCAGGCCACCCACATACACCTGGCTTCCATCCTCGCTGAACTCGACGGCCGTGACGGGGTATCCCACCTTGAAGCTGTCCCGTGGCTTCCCGCTGTTCTCCCAGTCCCACAGCATCACGTTCCCATCGTCTCCTCCGCTGACCAGCAGTTCTGCCGCGCCGCGCACCGGGCCGCGCGAGACGGCGACGGCATTGATGATGCCGTGATGTCCGCGCAGGCGACGCAGCTTCTGCCCGTTCAAGGCATCCCACACAATGAGCGTGGCGTCGGCCGAGGCGGTGAAGAGGCGCGGTGTGTGTGAGGGCGCTTGCCGCGACCAGCAGAGCGACGTCACCGCCTTGCTGTGCCCGGCCAGCAGACCGAGGTTGCTGTTCTCGCCGTACGTCGTCCACAGCGCTGCACGGCCCGCCTGTCAGTATGCGGATACACGGGCGGCTGCGATTCCGCGACGCACAGATTGTCCGGTCGATGGAGCAGGCTGCGATGTATGCGCCGTCTGGGGAGAACGCCACGTCCAGCACCTCAGCCTGAGGCGGAGCGCAGCAATGTCAGCACAGGTGCTGCCGCACGAGGGTCGCACGCCAGCTCACGCCATGTGCGCCCGTGAGTGCGAGAATCGGCGCCGCGAGGCTGCTGGTGCGCCGCACGCTGCGGATCAGGCCCTTGTCCTTGCCGTTGGCGGCAGAGCTGATGGCGACCTGCTGCCCGGCATCGCCGTCGGCCTCCTGCCGCGCGCGCTTGGCGAGCGCCGTGCCATTGCCGCGCGCCGGCGCCGCGGCGCCGTACGAGTCGGGCTCCTTGCGCTTCGTGTCGGCCATGGCGCAGAAGTGGAGCGGCGGGCAGTGGGCGCGAGAGGTGCGGGAAGACGTGGAGAGAGCGCAAGACGCGCGCCGCGTGGCCGTCAGCCGCCGCCTGAGAGCTGCCTGTGCCGACGGCCGTGCGGCTGCCGGCTGCACGTGACGCGCCCCGCCGCGGGCGCGAGAAGCGCTGGCCCTGCTCAGCACCTCCACTCGGCGCTTCTTCGCGCCGCCTCGTTCGCGGCCAACCCACCCACACCCTCGCCAGCATGGCCAGCAGCAAGGCATTCAGCAGCACCAATGTGCGCTGCGCCACGCTCATCGGCCATGTCGACCACGGCAAGTCGTCGTACGCCGACTCGCTCCTCGCCGCCAACGGCATCATCTCGGCGCGCCAGGCGGGCAAGCTGCGCTACCTCGACTCGCGCGACGACGAGCAGGAGCGCGGCATCACTATGGAGAGCAGCGCCGTCAGCCTCAGCTTCAAGCTGCGCACGCACGGCGACGACGGCCAGGTGGGCGCCGTGCAGAGCTTCATGATCAACCTCATCGACACGCCCGGACACGTCGACTTCAGCAGCGAGGTCTCGACGGCCAGCCGCCTATGCGACGGCGCCCTCGTCATCGTCGATGTCGTCGAGGGCGTGTGCACGCAAGTGAGTGTGCCAGTCCTGCGCGCTGTCCCGCCTCTCCGCTCACGGTGCGTGCCCGACAGACGATCACAGTGCTGCGGCAGGCGTGGTCCGACCGCCTCTCGCCCATCCTCGTGCTCAACAAGATGGACCGCCTCGTCAACGAGCTCAAGCTCTCGCCCTCGGAGGCCTACCACCATCTGCAGCAGCTCATCGAAAACGTCAATGCCGTCATGGGCTCCTTCTTTGCCTCGGAGCGCATGGAAGACGACCTGCGCTGGCACGAGGCGCGCGAGGCGCGCCTCAAGGCGCGCAAGGAGGCGCGCGGCGAGTCCGTCGTGGGCCAGTCCAGCGAGGGCGGCAGCGCAGAGGCGGGCGCGGCAGATGCCGACGAGGAGGAGGAGCGCTACGAGGAGCTCGACGACGAGGATATCTACTTTGACCCGGCGCGCGGCAATGTCATCTTTGCCAGCGCCATCGACAACTGGGCATTCCGCCTGGAGCGCTTCTCGCACCTCTACTCGCGCAAGCTCGGCATCAAGGAGAGCCGCTTCCGCAAGGTGCTGTGGGGCGACTTCTTCTTCGACCCGAAGGGCAAGCGCGTCATTGGGCACAAGCAGAAGGAACGCCTCGGCAAGAATCTCAAGCCCCTCTTCGTGCAGTTTGTGCTGGAGAACGTGTGGGCCGTGTACGAGAGCGTGGGGAATCGCGACGTGGAGAAGATCGAGAAGATCGTCAAGGCGCTCGAGCTCAAGATCGCACCGCGCGACCTGCGCGCAAAGGACACGTCGCAGCTGCTGCCGGCCATCTTCTCGCAGTGGCTGCCACTGGCGGCATGCACCTTCTCGGCGCTGGTGCAGTGCGTGCCCGCGCCCTCGGTGGCGCAGCGCACGCGAGTGCCGAAGCTGCTGCATCCTGGCCTGAGCTACTTCTCAAAGACGGAGCCCGCCTCGCCGCTCGAGCAGGATCTCTTCGAGGCGCGCTCGGGGCCCGAGGCTCGTCGCTGCGCCTATGTCAGCAAGATGTTTGCAGTGCGCAGAGGAGAGCTGCCCGAGGCACGGCGCAAGGAGATGACGGCAGAGGAGATGCGACAGCGCGGACGCGAGGCTCGTGAGAGGGCCGCGGCGGCGCGCGAGGCGCTGCTGGCTGCCACGGGCGCCTCCGTCGAGGAGCCTGCCTCGAGCCCGGCAGCAGAGGGCGCGCCGCTTGAGGAGCTTTCTGGCTCGAGCGCTGCTCCTCGGCAAGATGCGATGCAAGAGGCAGACGAGGAATCGCGCAAGGATGAGGAGGTGGTGCTGGGCTTCTCGCGGCTGTACAGCGGCACGCTGCGCGTTGGGCAGACGCTGTGGGCCGTGCTGCCCAAGTACAATGCCTCCCTGCCGCCCTCGCACGCCGCCAACGCGAGGCATCTCAAGCAGGTGACGCTGCAAGGCCTGTACATGATGATGGGCCGCGACCTCGTCGCGGTCACCGAGGTGCCGGCGGGCAACGTCTTTGCCATTCGCGGCCTCGAGGGCACAGTGCTGCGCAATGCCACGCTCTGCGCACCACCGGCCGGCGATGCGACAGAGACGCCCGATGCGGCACAGGCCAGCGAAGCATTCGTCAATCTCGCGGGCGTCAACATGCTCTCGGCGCCGATCGTGCGCGTGGCACTTGAGCCGGAGAACCCGAGTGAGTTGTCTCGCGACTGGCAGGGGCCTGTCCAGTGCTGACGCTCTCCACCCTGCAGCCGAGATGCCGAAGCTCGTCGAGGGCCTGCGTCTGCTGAACCAGGCAGATCCGTGTGTCGAGACGCTTGTGCAAGAGACAGGCGAGCACGTCATTCTGTGCGCTGGCGAGCTACACCTCGAGGTCAGTGGCCAGGCAGCGGTTCCCCGTCAGCTTGCTGACGCACGTCCTTTGCAGCGCTGTCTCAAGGACCTGCGCGAGCGCTTTGCGCGCATCGCCATCCAAGCATCCAAGCCCCTCGTGCCCTTCCGCGAGACGGCCGTGCGCGCAGCCGAGATGCCGCCGCCCAAGACAGAGGGCGCTCAGCGCGGCACCATCGTCGGCTCTGTCGCTGGCGGACTGGTGCAGTACTCTGTGCGCGCCGTGCCTCTGCCAGAGGCAGTGCTGGCGTTCCTGCTAGCCAACACCCGCACCATGCGCACGCTCCTCGCGCGCGATCGACGAGGCGCTGCCAGTGCGGATCAGCAAGTCGACGAGAACGAGGCAGACACGGCGGGTGCTGCTGCTACTACCGAGGCGAAGAAGGATGGCGCAAGAGAAGTGTCGCCCGAGGACTTTTGGCCGGAACTCGATGCTCGCCTGCAGGCTGAAGGTCCGGCGTGGAAGGACGTGGCGGAGAAGATCTGGGCTTTCGGACCGCGTCGGGTCGGCCCAAACTTTCTCGTTGACGCGGCTGGTCTCAGCGCACAGTCGTGAGTGCCGGCACAGACCCTCTTCGGGCCAGCAAACTCTGACGCTCTTGCACAGCCTGCGACAGCGTACCGAGCCGCGCCGCGCCTTCAAGGACGGACGACCTTCTTCCGGGCTGCCTACGCCCTCAGCGCAGCATGGCCTTAGCAGTGCCGATGCAGACGGCGCCGAGCTGGCCACTGCGCTAGATGCAGCCGCAAGGATTGAAGACGACGCCGACGAGGCACCAGCGCAAACCGACATTTCGTGGAGCGCGCGCGACCTCGTCGACTCGGTCGACACGGGCTTTCAGATCGCTACGCTGCAGGGACCGATGTGTGCGGAGCCGGTGCAGGGCTTGGCTTACTTTGTAGAACGCGTTGAGGTTGACAAGGAGGTGGCGCAGAAGGAGGGAGGTGAGTTGCAGGCGCCCTGAGCGTAGCCCACGAGCTGCAGCTGACGAGCATGCCCCTCTCCCTGCCGAGCAGCCCGTGTCAAGCTCTCGCAGGTCACCGGCTCACTCATCTCGTCGATCCGCGAGGCGTGTCGCCAGGGGCTGCTCGACTGGTCGCCGCGGCTCATGATGGCCATGTACTCGTGCGACATTCAGGCGTCGAGTGAGTTTCGCAGCCGCTCTCGCTGGCAACAGCGTTTGCAGAGCACTGACTCGTCCGGCCCTCCTTCAACAGCCGACGTGCTCGGCAAAGTGCATGCCGTGCTCTCGCGTCGGCGTGGGCGCATCACGAGCGAGGAGATGAAGGAAGGCACGTCGTTCTTCACCGTCGGCTCGGTGCTGCCCGTCGTCGAGTCATTTGGCTTTGCCGACGGTATGTGCTCTCCGCTGTTGCTCGCTACTCGCCCTGCTCACCAGGCATTCCCCGCAGAGATCCGCAAGCGCACGTCCGGCGCCGCAAGCCCGCAGCTGATCTTCAAGGGGTGAGTGTCAGCGGCCTGTCAGCACGACATGCTCCCGCTGACGCCCCATGCCGCTGCTCAGCTACGAGCTCTTCGACATTGACCCGTTCTGGGTGCCGCGCACCGAGGAGGAGCTGGAGGATCTGGGTGTGCTGGGCGAGCGGGAGAATGTGGCCAAGCGCTACATGGACGCCGTGCGCTTGCGCAAGGTGAGTGGGACGACGCAAGCAGTGCTGCCAGCTGTGCAAGATGCTGCAGCTGCACTGACGGCTGACGCTGCCTCCCATGTGCTCCCTGCCAGGGCATGCACGTCGACAAGCGCATCGTCGAAGTGGCGGAGAAGCAGCGGACGCTGAAGAGCAACTAGACACGCCGCATAGAATGCACCCTCCATCGCCTGAAGCACAGCCAATCGCAGATGGTGATGAGGTCTGAGGGAGCATGTGCATGGTTGGCTCGGCTCAGCATGTCATGCGCCAAGAGGCAGCACCTGAGACGCCGAGGGGCCGCGAGAGGGGCAGCGCGAGGGGCAGCGCGTCACGGAGGCCCGCAGGTGCACTCGGCAAGCCTGTCCCTCTCCGTCATCTCTGTTGAGCCCGTGCCGCCCGGAGACTGAGTCCGTAAGAGCATCGAGTGAATATCGGCGATCTGCGATCTGGGGCACTCTTGCGTTTCTCCGCTCGCGGGGAGCTGACGAGAGGCGAGCGGAGGCTGCTCGTTGCGGAGGCACGGCGTGCTGAGTCAGCACACGCTTGCATCAGCACGGCGCGGGCCCTCCACAGCGAGCGCGTCTTGCATTTCGCGCCTCGAGCGAGGCCTTCTTACCTCACGCCTCGCCTGCTCACGTCTGCTTCACCACCTCCTCCTCCTTGCATTCTCTCACCATGGCCGCGCGTCAACTACACTCCACCTTCACGCGTCTCGCCTCGTCCTGGCCCAAGGACCCGCTGCGTCCCAACGCGCAGATGGGCCGCGCCATCCAGGCCTTTGCCGACGAGACGTTCCTCGCGACGCCCGCCTCGGCCTCCAAGCTGCCCGACCCGCAGCCGCCGCTGCCCGACGTCGCGGCGGCGCCGGAGCGCGACTTCAAGCAGCTCAGCGCCGCCGACGAGGGCGCGGCTCGCGCGGCGCTCGAGGCGCTGCAGGCCATCCAGGAGGGCAAGGCGTCGAAGCAGGTGAGTGCCGGCTGCTCGAGCTCGAGGCCAGCGGCAAGACAGGCTGCAACGGGGCCGACGAAGAAGCGCGATGCGAGAGCTTAGATGGAGACCGACGTCTGCAACATCGATGCTTCTCGTCGTCTGCTTGCTCGCGCCATCGTTGCTCTCATAGCTGCGCCCCGCCTGCTGCCCTTCTCGTGTGCAGCGCAGGCCCAAACGGCATCTTGCCTGCCTCAATGTCGCCAGCCAGCTGTCCTCGCGCATGCTTTTGTCCTCGCTCTCTCATCTCATCTGCTCACGGCATCCATCAACAGCACCCGACACCAGACAAGATTCTCCGTCCGGCGTCCAACAAGGACTACTACTCGCGCCTGACAGCCACCATCGACAAGGCGGCGGCTGGACAGGACGTGTCGCCGTCGTTTGGCGAGCGCTTCCGTCTCTTCCTCGGCGGACGGCGATGAGCGTCGCGATTCCTTTCCAGGTGATCGAAGGGAGATCAGGGGGGGGCAGGGAGGAGGAGGTGAGGTGGGAGAGGGCACGTCAACATCATGACATGTCTCTTGCAGTCAACGTATCCTGTAATCGGCGCACTCAACCAATGTGATTCCTACCATAGACGAGGAGGGAGGGATGCATCGCATTCAGAGTCGCTAGGCGGGACAGAAGAGATGGAGCACAGGGGAGCTAGGTAGGCGGTGTCGGCCAGCCGACGATGGGGGCCGAGGCAGCACATAGAGGTGGTCGTTAAGCAGAGTACAGAGACGAGGCGAAGGTAGAGTCGTCGGAGAGATGGAGCGGTGGAGGAGAAGGAAGGTGAAAGCGCGAGAGAGGGCGAGTTAACAAGCGCAAGGTGCCGTCTTCATCATAGCCAGAAGCTCCGTCAGCTTGGCGTGCACCTCGTCGCGTCGGTCCTTCTCGGGCTGCTGCTGCTGCTTCTGCTGCTTCGGCGTCTCGGGCGTCTCGTCGCTGTCCTGCAGGCTGAGGTGCGGCATGCCTCCGCACAGCGCCGTCACCACGGCCTGAGCTCCCGGGCTGAGCGCCTTGCTGACGCTCATGGGCTCCGGCTGGAAGTGCTCGATCTTGCCGGGCGGCGCAAGCGCCGCTTCGCGCAGAGGAGCATCAATCTCGGCTGCCGTGAGACCGAGGGAGATGGGAGCAGAGGGAGAGGGAGGCGCCCAGGGAGACAGCCCGAGCGCGCGTTCGAGACGAGAGAGACCCTCGAGCATGGCGGGTGCGGGCAGCGAGAAGGTGAGCCGGAACATGCCGAGCCGAGGGTGGTGGTAGCTGCGAGTGCAGTGATGAGCTGTGGCCGTACCGTGTAGGACGCACGAGAGGAGGCAACACTCACTTTGAGCCCGGCGTCACGCAGACACGATGATCCAGTGCTCTAGCCCACAGAGCCGTCTCGCCTTCCTGCGGCGTCAGCTTCCTTCCATTCAGCAGTCTTGGCATGAACCGCTCCAAGTCGGCCAGCACAAAGTGTCCCGCATTGGCGGGCGAGTAGTTGATGCCGTGGTGCTGCAGCCACTGAGTCACAAGTCGATAGGCGGCGCCCAGGCGCGCCTGGTTGGTGCGGATAAAGGCGCCGTAGAATGTCGGGTGGGTGAGGAGCGCGGAGAAGAGTGCGTCGGAGGGAGAGGAGACCATGTAGAGCTTCGCAGTGCTCATCATTGCCTTCAACAGCGTGCTGCGCAGACGTAAGGGGCTCGCTTGTCAGATTCCCGAACGACGTCGCAAGGCGGAAGAGCCAAACGTACGGATTGTGCTGGCTGATCAGACTGCCCACGCGGAAGCCATTGATGCCCCAGTCCTTGCTGCTGCTCGAGACGATGTGCACGCGTCCCGGATGGCAGCCGGCCTCCTTGAGCCAATCGATGTTGAGCGCACTGATGAAGCCCTGATCGGGCCCAAAGGCCGTGCTGCACTTGTACGTGGACAGTGCGTAGATCTTGCGATGTGCGAAGAGAGTCAGTGGGGTGTGTGCGTCGCGTGGTAGAGAACGCAGGCTTACCTCGTCGACGACAAGATGCAGATCGTGCTTCTCGACAAAGCGGCCATAAGCGAGCATGGCCTCACGATCATAGCATCTGCCCGAGGGGTTGTGCGGGTTGCACAGCAGCACCGCCGCACATGTCATGTGCTTTGCATGCAAGCCTTGCAGCGCCGCCTCGAAGCCACGCAGCGCCGTCTCGCCACTGAAGTCGACGGCACTCGTGCCGTCGGTGCTTGGCGAGAAGACGGGGACGCAGGTGACGTTGGCGCGCGTGTTGAGATCGGCATCGAATCCGTCTGCACTGGGCGTTAGTGAAGCGTGAAGAAGCGAGGGGACGGAAACTGACTATAGTAAGGCTGCGATGTGCAAAGGCGATCAGCTGGCTGCTCTCGCGCACTCCCGCGGTGTAGTGAGACGACTCACAGCCGCACAAAGCACAGCATCGCCATCGCCGGCGAGATGAAGGAAGACCTGGTCGAGCAAGCTGCCGCACCCGGGGCCCGTGATGAGGTGTGAAGGCAGCACGGGCGAGACAGGGGCGAATGCGGCCGAGTTGTAGTGCGAGCAGAGAGCGGCAAAGAGACGCGTGGAGCCGAAGAGGGAGGTGCCGTAGGTGAGATCGCTGGCGTGGAGGGAGAGAGAGCGGTGGAAGAACTGGCAGAGAGAGAATGTGTGAGTGAGTGTGAGGGGGACAAGGCGAGGGGCACGTACGTCGAGCAGCTCGGCCTCCATCAGGCTGTTGTTGGCAATGCCGAGGTTGACGATGCCGCTCTGGTCAAGCACTGTGTCAGCTGCAGCCAGGCCCACGCTGCTGTCCCAAGTGACTCTGCAACGCCGCACACACGCACGGGGTTGTCGCGCGCACAGTAGGCATCGCTGAGCATGCGGTCAAAGGTGGCCCAGAAGGGCGTCACTTTGGCCGCCTCGGCCTCGCCGCGCGCAGCGAGGCGCGGGATGGAGCTGGGCGGCGGCGCGATGGGCGAGTTGGCGGAGGGCGCCATGACTGATAAGCTCTCCTGGGGCAGCGGAGGGACGGCAAGCGGGAGGGATCGACAGGGACGAGGCCACTGGCGTGGGAACAGCAGATCTGGGAGGGCTTGGCAGGGCGAGGAGCGAGAGCAGCGGGACTTCTCAAGGGGGGGGCAAGGTGGAGGGCAGCGGTCTGAGGTGCGTGTGCGGGAGGTGGGCGGGAAAGCAGAGGGCGCAGCGGGCGCTCGCGATGGCGTGCTCGACGTGGCGCCGCCGACGCAAAGCACGCAATCACACGTGACTCAGGGGAGAGCTCCACGTGGCATCGCTCTCGGGACACGGGCAGGGCGCGTGGGAATGCTGCGCCGACGCTTGGGCCACCCAGAGGCGAGGAGAGCAACACCGACGCGACGTGTGTGGCGCTAGGCACACGCTTCTTCTCGCCTCCACCACCCTCGCCATCATGTCGCTGGCGCAGCTGACGCTCAGTGTCGCCACGATCTACACCTTCTTCCTACTGTGGGGCCTGCTGCAGGAGCGCCTCACCACCACGGCCTACACGCTTCCGCCGCACGCTTCCCTCGCACACTCGGCCTCGGCGCATCTGCGCGGCCAGGCCAGCGAGACGTTCCGGCATCCGCTGCTGCTCAATGCCCTGCAGGCCATCGCCTGCACAGCGCTCGCTGCCTCCTATCTCCTCCTCCGTCGTGCGCCCGGCGTCAAGCCACTCGCAGCGCTCGGCCTCGATGCTCTTTCGCCGCGCGGCGCCGTCGCTGCTCGGCGCGAGAAGGACGCCTCGGCGGTGCCAGGGCGCATCTCGCCGCTGCTGCTGCGCTACCTCGCCGTCGCAGCCTTCCAATCGACGGCCTCGCAGCTCGGGCTCCTCTCTCTCTCGCACGGCATCAGCTACCCTACCCTGACGCTTGCAAAGTCCTGCAAGCTCCTGCCCGTGCTCTTCGCCCAGGTGCTCCTCTATCGGCGTCGCATTGCGCCGCACAAGTACCTCGTCGTCGCCCTCGTCACCGCCGGCATCTCACTCTTCATGCTCTGCGCTCCCGCCAAGCCGGGCAAGGCTGCTCGCGCGGATTCCTCGCTCGGCCTGGCCCTGCTGCTCGCCAATCTCTTCCTCGATGGCCTCACCAACTCGACGCAGGATGAGATCTTCGCGCACTACCGCGTCTCAGGCCCACAGATGATGTTCCTCATGAACCTTGCTGCCTCGTTCCTCCTCTCTGCTTCGCTTCTCTTCCCGCGCGGAGGCGCAGGACACGGCAATGAGCTCACCGCTGCGGCGGCGTTCATCTCGAGACATCCCACGATCATCAAGGATCTGGCGGCCTACTCTGCCGCGGGCGCCATGGGGCAGATCGCAATCTTTGAGACATTGCAGCGCTTCGGAAGTCTCACGCTCGTGTCGATCACTGTACGTTGCCTCTTCCTCTCCTTGCACCTCGTTCAGCAACTGCTCGCTGACGCAATTGACCCGATCGCAACCTCCTCGCAGGTGACGAGAAAACTCTTCACCATGCTGCTCTCCATCCTCGTCTACGGACACGCACTGCGACCAGCTCAGTGGCTCGGCGTGCTCGTCGTCTTCGTAGGCCTGGGCGTCGAGGCGGCCGAGAAGCGACGCGCAGGCGCCCGCAAGACTGCATCTGCGTCGGCTGGTGCAGGAGGGGCCAAGGAGAAGACGAGTTAGAGCCGGATAGAGGGGACACGACAATAGACACATGCAGGGATGGTCTTGCATTGCGCATGGGCCAAGGGTATGTAGATGAGATGGCAAGAGTGCAGAGCAGGTGCTGCGTCGTCGGAAGGGTGAGAGGGAGGATGGTTGATATCTCTCGCATGCGGGCTCAGAAACGGCCAGCAAGGCTTCGCGCCGCATCAGCGGCGCTCAGACGCGTCGAAGAAGCGCCCCATGCCGAGGCGCCAGAGTTGAGCGTTCCTGCGCCGCCGAGGCGCGGCAGCGTGCCGGACGCAGCAAGCCCCGAATTAGGCATGCCGAAAGGGCTGGGCGGAGCGCCGGCGCTCGCCGAGGAGGGCGGAAGAGAGGGCACGCTGGCGGAAAGCGGAGGGACACTTGCGTCCAGCGGCGCACGCTGAGAGGCGAGACGCGATGCGGGCGATTGCGAGCCGTCGGCGTAGGGACGCTGCGGTGAGCCTTGCGCCGCCGGCGATGCAAGCGCTGGTTGGTACTGCTGTTGCTGGTGCGGCGGCTGCTGAGGCTGCTGTTGATGTTGCTGCTGCGCAAAGCCCGCGCTCGCAGGTGTACGCGGCAGTCCAGCGGTCGGCATAGTCCGTGTCGGCGCCTGCGCTGCAGGCACGAAAGATAGAGGCGGGACGTTGCCGTTGCCGTTGCCGCCGCCGCCTGAAGAGTAGTAGGATGCGCCGCGCGGCTGGAAAGTCGCCTTGGGCGCCGGCGAGGGAACGGGCGTGCTGGGAGTCGGCGAGGGCGAGGGCGCGGGCCGAGCGACGGCGGGCGATGCCAAGGGAGGAGCGCTGGGCGCTGCTGCTGCGCGAGGCGTGTCGGACCGTGCGTCCGGGGTCGGTGCAGGTCCACTCGCGACGGCGGGAGGTGGAGTGCTCGGTCGTGCTTGCGTCTCGACGGCTTGCTGCAAGTACTCGCGCGTCTGGCTGTCTTGCGCCGCTGGAGGTGCAGTCTGTGGTGCGGCAGCCTCGCTGCTCCGCCGCTGCGGCGCCTCCGCTTGGTCTTGCGTCTGATCCTGCGTAGCACCCACGATGGGCGCACTTGTCTCGCCATACACCTCCCTCGTCTCCTCCTGCGGCAGCAGCACGTTCTGCTGCCCCGCCTCCGCCTCAAGCTCCGGCGGCAGCTCCACCTCGCTCTCGCCACGCACGGCTGCCTGCAGCCGCACCATGTGCGCCAGCATGGCGCCATTCGCAGCGCGTGCACCGCGCGCATGTATACGCAGCGCTTCGTGCAGATCCTTGTGCGTGGCGCGTGCGTGCGTGGCGAGAGAGGCACGCAGTGAAGTACTGAGAGAGGCCAGTTGAGAAGCCAAGTGCGCAGCTTGTTGACGAGCCTGTGGGCGATCAGTGGCGTGAGTCTCTCGTCGCTCTGCCAAATCACACCAAGGCAAGCACGCACCTCCTGCAACTCCTCCAGCTTGGCCTCGACGCGCTCAAAGTTCCCACCCGCGGCGCTTCGGGCCCGCAGATTCTCCGCCTCGCGCCGCTTGAGCATAGCTGTGCCCGCGGCTTCGTGCGCGGCATCGACGAGCCCATGGCGGACTAGCAGAGCATCACGCGCTGCGCGTGCTGCGAGCGATTGATAGGAGAGGGGATGGGCAAGGTGGAGATGCGAGTGCGCCGACTGTGGGCAGTCAAGTGCGAGGCGCGCGTCAGCAGAGGAATGCCGGCTAATGCTCTGGGGTGCTTGCCAGGGGCAGAGAAGACTCACGAGGGTGTCTCGCTCGAATGCTAGCGCTCGTAAGGCAGAGGCAGTCTGCTGCAACACATCTGGCAGCCCTTCGCGCGCTGGAATGGCACGCGTGGCCTCGAGCGTAGCCAGTGCTTCGAGCCGGGCGGAGAGTGCGGCTAGAGCGCCCGTCAGGACTGCAGGACGCAGCTGTGTCAGCGTCTCGGAGATGAGTGAGTGCCTGCTGTCAAAGCATGCGCGCTTCGCCAAGAGCAAAGCACAGCAGAGGCCGATGTTTTTGCCGGCGCTGCAGGAAGCAGGGGCCTTGCTCGCTCTCAAGCACGGCTCTGCTGCACGCAGGGCCGAACTCACCAGCTCCGCTCTCCTCTCTCCTCTCCCCCCTCTCCGCTGCCGCTCTGAACTGCATCTCCAATCTCGTCACCTCCGCTCTGGCCGCGACCAATTCCTCGTCCGTGTCGGCACCGCTGATGGCCGTTGCGCTGCTTGCGCCATTGACCTGTCGCGCCGCTCGCAAGCTGCCAAACAGGCCCGCATTGCTTGGCTGTGCTGCGCGCAGTGCGAGAGATGTAGTGACGGCGCCCGAGGGCAGCCCTAGGCCCGCGCCCACATCGACGGAGAGGTTCCCCGCGCTGCGAACGGCGGAGATGGCGGCGTCGAGACGACGCTGAGCGGCAGGTGCGGCGCCAGGCCCGACGTTGGGCAGCACAGGCACGTAGGCAAAGTCGGCGTCGATGAGCGCCGGCGTGGCGGGATGGCGCAGCACATCGGGCAGCGCGAGGAGGCGCGAGAACCAGGCGGCCAGGGCGCGCGCGTGGGCGTGCGACGCGGCGGCGTGTGCGGCGGCCTCGGCGCCGTGCAGGGATTGGGGAGACGTGAGAAGCAGCTGTGGCGCGGGCGGCGGCGGCGGCAGAATGTGGTTCGGCAGCGCCAGCGAGAGGGCCAGCAGCCAGAGGGCCAGGTCGGCGGCGCGGCGCTCGATGCGCGGATAGTGCGTGCGGCGCAGCGCGGCGAGATTGCCGTGCGCCGAGAGAGAGAGGGCAATGTCGGAGGCGGCGGTGCTGCCGGGGCGCCGGTAGGGCAGGATGGGCAGGTGCAGCTGGACGTGCAGGAAGAGCGGCACGGACGGAGGCCGGGCATGAGAGGAGGGCGAGGGACTGGCACGGTGTGTGGCCACGTCGGGCGCGAGACGCGACATGGTCGGCGACGCGCAAGGGGAGACGAAGGCGAAGAGGAGGCAGCGGCGGATGCGCTGGATGCGGCCGCCGAGGTCGTGGGGATGTGGAGTCGAGAGACGAGCTGCTCGTCGTCGCCGGCGCATGGCCGATGCGCTGCTGGCACGGACGCCGCCGCCGTGCTTCCGTGCGAGTGCGGCGCGCCGCGCTGACGCTGGCTGGCGGGCAGCAGAGGAGAGGCCGCGCGAGCCTTGCTGCCCCGCGCCGAGCTCGCCTCACTCCTCCGGCGCTGCTCCTTCCTCGTCCCCTCCACCACCTCTCGCCCCCTCCTGTCTTCGCGATGGAGCCCCTCTCCACCGCGCGCCCCGCCGCCGCACCGCCAACACGCGTCACCTACATCCACGATGCCGACGTCGGCAACTACTCCTACGGCTACGGCCACCCCATGAAGCCGCACCGCATGCGCATGACGCACAACCTCGTCGCAAACTACGGCCTGCAGCGCCACATGCACCTCGTCCGCCCCGCACGTGCCACGCGCGAGCAGATGACGGCCTTCCACACCGACGAGTACGTCGACTTTCTAAGTCGCGTCACGCCCGAGAGCGTCACGCAGCTCACGGGCGACGGCACGCGATGTGAGTGCGGCGGCGACGAGAGGGGCGCCGCGTGGGCGAGGCAGCATGGGCGAGGCAGCGTGGGCGAGGCAGCGCGGCAGCGCTGCAGCCATGTGCAAGCTCACGTACACAGCGCTAGAGCTCGCAGCCTGCTCAGGCAAGGGCGCGACGGCCGAGAGCGGCAGAGCGTCGGCATTGCAGGGCGCACACCGGGCATACTGGCGCAGGCATTCTGGCTTCTCGCACAAAGGACGTCCCGCTTTGCTTGGTGCTGCGCAGAGAAGCACCCGAGGGATGGCTGCGTCTGAGAGAGCTGGCGCCCTCCGTTCCTGGCTGTGCTCGCTACCTAGGCGCTGACACCCACCACGCAACGCAGTCCTCATCGGCGAAGACTGTCCCGCCTTCTCGGGGCTCTTCGAGTTCTGCACCATCTCCGCCGGCGGCTCCTTGGCTGCTGCTTCGGCGCTCAACGCCGGCACCGCCGACGTGGCCATCAACTGGGCTGGCGGGCTCCACCACGCCAAGAAGCGCGAGGCCAGTGGCTTCTGCTACGTCAACGACATTGTGCTTGCCATCCTTGAGCTGCTGAGGTGCGTTCCTTGTGGCCCAAAGGCGAAGCGGCGGAGCTGATCGGGGTGGGACGATGACAGGACACATCTCCGGGTCCTCTACATCGACATAGACATCCATCACGGCGACGGCGTCGAGGAAGCCTTCTACACTACCGATCGAGTCATGACAGTCTCCTTTCACAAGTTTGGAGACTTCTTTCCCGGCACCGGAGACGTGCGCGACGTGGGCATGAAGCGCGGCAAAGGCTACGCTGTCAATGTGCCGCTGAAGGACGGCGTGGGAGAGACGGAGTTTGCGGGCATCTTTCGACCGGTGAGTTGCGGTGGGAGGCGGGACGACGAAGGGCAGAGAGGCGCAGGTGACGCGGGCGAGGCACGCCCCCGAAGAGAGGGCCAGCTGCTCGCGAGGGCTGCTCCACCGGCCAGCATCTCGCGCTAGACTTGCCGCCTCACGCACGTCGCTTCGGGCCTGCCTCTGCTCACTCCTGCTGCTTCCTACCCGGCAGGTGCTGCAGCACATCATGGACTGGTATCGGCCCGGCGCAGTGGTGCTGCAGTGCGGCGCCGACAGTCTGGCGGGCGACAAGCTTGGGTGCTTCAACTTGAGCATGCGCGGTGAGTCAGCCCGGCGGTCTGGCTTGACAAAGAGTGTGATGCTGGGCATAGGCGGAGACGAGGACCTGACGAGATGCCTGTGCGCGAGCTTAGTGCTCAAGCGCAGCCTAGCAGCAGAGGCAGGTGCCGTGGTGACGGCCTCACTGATGCTTTTTCGTGCGCAGGCCACGCCGACTGCGTCAGTTTCATGAAGTCGTTTGGCGTGCCGCTGATCTGCCTTGGCGGCGGCGGCTACACGATCCGCAACGTGGCGCGCACATGGACGTATGAGACTGGCCTGCTGGTCGGACAAGAGCTCGACGAGGATCTGCCGTTCAACGAGTACATGCAGTACTTTGGCCCCGAGTACAAGCTCGACGTGCCCATGACGAGCATGGAGAATCAGAACTCGCGCGAGTATCTGGAGGGCTTGCAGTGAGTCGTGCAACGGGAGAGGGCGTTTGCTCGCAGGCGAGACTGACGGTCCTGGCTCGCAGCGCACGCATCATCGATAACTTGCGCTGCCTCAATCCGGCACCGTCGGTGCAGATGCAGGAGACACCACGCAACCCGCTCAATCCTGCAGAGCTGGATGTGTCTGACGACGAGGACTCGGATCTCGACGAGCGGATAAACCGTGAGTTGTGACCACCGCCATGCCGTGCATGCACCTGCCCGTCTACTGACGCTTCTCTCGGCGTGGCAGAGCGCCTGCGCGATGCCCATGTGGAGCGCTATGGCGACGAGCTTTCGGGCGACGAGGAGGATGATGGCGGCGACATGGATCTCGATGGACTTGGCAGCTCTCGTCGAGCCTCAACGCACGGCATGGTGCGCAACTGGTCGCACCTCGGCGGCGGCACCTCGCGGCTAGGCGGCGATCTTGGCGCGCGCTACGGCAGTGGCAGCAGTCGGTCCTTGATGAACGGCCTGGGCCGCGCCTCGCCTTCCGGCTCTACCTTTGGCGCGCCGCCGCCCGCCGGCCTCGGGATGGGCTTCAGCAACGGACACGCCGCCAGTGGCTCCAGCGGCAGTCCACTGCCTCCACGACCAAAGCGCAGCTTCTTCGCGGCGCGCGCGAAGAAGGCGTCGCCGAATGGAGGAGCCGAGTCTGCAACCCCACGACAAGGAACAGCAGCGACACGCCCGCAGATGCCGCCCATGATCGGCCGCGCCACGGCGGTGGACGAGCTCATGTCCGAGGCGGGCGGCGCGGCGGCCGATACGCCGCTGGGAGGCAGCCCCAGACCCAGCTCGTTCAGAGATACGCCGCCTGCTCATATGCTGGCCACATGACGGCACGCTGACTCGATCCCCCCGACCACCCTGCAACACCCCTTCTCCCTCGCATGTATCACTTACCCCGCTCATGACCTCATCGACGCACCACTCTGCATCATCACACGCGCGTGCGGCTCGCATGTGGAGGGATCGCTTGGTGTGTGGGAGGGCAGCTGATGTGACATGATGAGACGTGACGCGACGATGGATGATGCAGAGAGAGAATGACGAGCTGGAGAGTGAGAGAGGCTTTGAGGGGCAGATGCAGGGCACAGGGGGCCGCAGAGGACGGCCGGGCGGGGCTGGCTACGTCGAGATCGACATGGTCTCCAGCGACTTGGAGAAGGCATCGTCGGAGGCATCGTTGACGCTCTGGCGCTTGGGGATGCGCAGGCCCACGGGACTGTTGGGCGCCGAGTCTTCTCCGGCCGTGCTGTCGGCGTCCGACTCGTCGGCGTCGTCGTCGTCATCGTCGTCGCTCGTCTCATCCTCATCACGCATGCTCTCCGGCGCCACGTCCTCCCATGAACGATAGAGACGCTCGACCCAGCGGCTGGACAGGCGCAGGCGATACGGGTCGAACGGGAAGAAGACGTCCAGCTCCTGCACGGCGTGTGCTGGCGGAGGCTCGCGCTGGCCGGGCAGCGTGTTGGGGTTGCGCTGCAGTTGCAGCTGCTTCAGCCCGCCCGACTCGTCGGCCATGGGCGTCGAGGGATTCTCGGCGCTGTTGGCGCCACTGCGAGCGCCGCCGCGGCGACTGTTGCTCTCGATGATGCTCCAGCAGTACAGCAGGCCCGTGTGCTCTGCCACGCCCGCAAACTGCCGCACGACCGTGGGCGAGCAGTGTGCGAGCGGGTTGAGGGGACTGGTGATGGCGCGCTGCAGCACGGACAGCCCCTCTGCCCACCGTGCGCCTCCGAGCGCAGACGAGACGACGTCAATCTCGGCCTCCTCGTCGGCATCCAGGCGCAGATCGCGCCATCGGAAGCAGAAGATGTAGAACGCCGCCTGCGTGACGGCGTAGAAAATGGCGTGAGGCCCGTGGATCGCCGAGAGTGCCTCTGTTGCGCGGGCGCTGCCCGGACGAGGCGGTGTGGAAGAGGCATGTGCGGCGAGGTGGGCATCGAGGAAAGCGCAGAGATTGAGCATCACGGCTCGACAGTCGGTGGCGCCAATGTACGAGGCGCGCGAGACGAGCGAAGCCACGTAGCTGGCAGCGACGATGCGCATGATGGTCGGCTCCTTGCCCTCGAGCGAATCGCCGGCTTCGTTGAGGCCGTAGATTGCCTTGCTCAGCAGCATGCCAAGCAGCAGATCGGCAAAGTCAGAGTCGAGCGAGGCGTGCCAGAAGAGCAGAAACTGCACGTGGCGCGACTTGAATGTCGGCAGCACGGCGCGCTGGAAGATGCCGAGCAACATCTGGAACTGGTTGCCACGCAGCGCCATGGCGCGCGAAGGCGTCGGCTGGTCCGCCAGCAGTGCGGCAGGCTTGCTCTGCGGCGACTGGCGTGCGGGCGACGCAGACGGGCTGTTGTCGCCTTCGAGCGAGCCTCTGCGCGCGCGCCCCAGCAGCCCGTTGCCGCCCTTTGCTATGTCTTCGTAGCGCGCATTCTGCTCCTCGAGATGCTTGAAGACGACGGCCATGATGCCGTCGAGCTTGGCAACGAGCTCGCGCACCGCAGAGAGACGCTTCTCGGCATCCGTCTCGCTTACGAGGCCGCCGCCCTCGGAGTCGTCGTCAGAGAGGTCGTCCAGTCCGCCATCGTCGCCGCCGTCGTCTGAGTCCGAGTCGGAGTCGGACTGGCCCTCGAGCGCCGCCTCGAAGGGATCCTCGTCCAGTCCATTCGTTGTCGCGCCATCATCCTCCTCTTCTAGCTCGTCGAGCTCGACCTGGATTTCGACCTGCGCTCCAGAGTATGAGCGGGGAGCCTCGGGGGAGGGGGGAGGGGGGGGCGCCCTTGTGGTGCAGCCACTCACATCCAGCTGCATCGCCCGATCCACCACGCACAGCAACACCGTCTCTGCCAGCTCTCCCGCATACGAGCACACCTCGAGTGCGTTGCGCACGTAGACGACGTGTGCGGCGCGCCCTTCGCGCTTGTGCGGGAAGTGCTGCACCAGCAGAGGCGCCAGCTGTGCCGGCAAGGAAGGCACGAGCGCCAGCAAGGAGCGCAGGAGCGTGTGCACGCGCGCGTACATCTGACGCCGCGGTGGCGCGGGCGTGAGGGCAAGAGAACGCCAGTCGGAGCCTAGAGTGCGACGCCCGCATGAGCGTGTGCAGGCCAAGTGTGATGCCTTCTACAGCGCGTCACTCACGAAAGCCAAGACCCTTGACTGCCCGCTTGCACACATCCCCCGTCCACTCTGCGCGCGCAGAGACGAGGGCGCAGACGAAGCGGATCCAGGCGCGTGCGAAGCTCTCGCCGCCGAGACTGGTCCAGGGCAGGGAGAGGATGGCGTCTACCAGTGCAGAGTGGCGGCGATCGAGACTCGAGACGACGTGCGTCGTCGCAGAGAGCCAGGAGAGCAAGGAAGAGGAAGCGGAGGCGCCCATGGAGGACGAGGCGGGCGAGCGGAACTGCGAGATGAGATCGTGGTATGGCGCATCGTTGCCCTGTGGAGAGCGTCAGGAGAGGCGCAGCTGTGCAGCCCAAGCAAGACCGACTGACGCGCGCACGCTCCTCAAAGACGTTATTGACGTAGGCGACGTACATGCCCTTGCGGTACTGCGGGTTGGCCGCACTGGCGAGCTTCATGCTGCCGCGCGGGCTGGCGGGCGCCAGGCCCGGCGGCTTGGCATCCTCGAGCTTGAGCAGGCCGCCGCCGCCGCCACTGCTGCTGCTGGACGCCAGTGCCGAGCGCAGCGGCTGCGCCATGCGTGCCACGGGCGCCGGCTCGCCGTCGCTGCCCTCGAGCTTGGGCGACGAGGCGGCGGCGACGGCGGCGTGCGAGCGCTTCATGCCGCGCGAGCCAGACGGCGGGCGGAGCGGCGAGGCGGACGAGACGGCGACGACCATGCAGCGCCGAGGTGGGCCGCGAGACGGGCTGCAGTGTGGAGCAAGAGGGGCACGGGAAGATCGGCGGCGGCGCGGGGTGAGCGAGATGAAGGGAAGCAAGGCCGCAGTGGCGCTGCCGTCACGGAGCATGCGCGCGCGGCGCCTCTCGCCGCCGGCCGGCTGTCCGCGCGCGCAGGTCGTGTGCGCACGCAGGCGCCGTGCCTGACCCTGAGCCGCGGCGCGGCATGGCGGCACGTGCCGCACTTTTTTGTCTGGCGCCGCGCGCGGCGGCTTTCGGGACACGAAGCTCGAAGCTTGCCTTGCTCGGCGGAGCAGCAGCGGCCCCCCCACCTTCCTCCCACTCCCATCACCATGAGCGACGCACCCGCCACGCCGCCCGCCGAGGCTCCCGCCGCCGCAGTCGAGGCCTCTGCCTCCACAGTCGAGGCGCCCGCCGCGCCGGCGCCCCTCAGCGCCGCCGGCGTGCAGGCGCCGCGCATCGACACGCTCATCCTCGACGCCGGGCCCCTTCTCACCCGCGCCGCACTCACGCATCTCGCCTCGACGTTCCTCATCCCGCCCCTCGTGCTCGCCGAGCTGCGCGACCCCGCCGCCCGCGCCCATCTCGAGGCGCTGCAGCGATACGGCGCCGATGTGCGCGTCGTCGATCCCGGCGCCAAGGCCATGCAGCACGTCGCCGCCTTTGCGCGCCAGACGGGCGACTTGCCCGTGCTCAGCCAGCCCGATCTGAGCGTGCTCGCCCTCACCTACAAGGTGGAGCAGGAGAAGCACGGCGACTGGCGCATTCGCGCAAAAGTCGGCGGCCCGGTGAGTGGAGCACGAGCCTGGATGCCACAGGTGAGATGCACGACTGACGGTGGCGCATCGCAGACTGGACAGCAGGCACACGAGGCCGCGCGCCTCGCTGCAGTCAAGGCCGACGGTGGCGCTGAGAAGGCGAAGCCTGCAGCCGCCAAGAAGCTCGCGCCCACGTCTGCCGCCACTGCCCTCTCCGCACAGGTCTCCGATCTTTCCCTCGCCGGTCCATCTTCTTCTCGGACCCCCTCGCCCGCTCCCGCCGCCTCGGCCGCCGCGGATGACGACGAGGGAGAATGGATCACGCCGCGTCCCGCCAAGCGAGTCGAGCCCATCGCCGAGCCCGAGGACGCAGGGGGCTCAGACGGCGAGGGCGAGTGGATCACCAGCGCCAACATCTCCTCGCACAAGGCCCGCGACTTGGGCCTCATTACCGCCGCAGACGAGGCGCCCTCTGTCGCCTCTCCCGCCGTCGTCGCTCCCGAGGCGCAGCAGACACGTACAAAGGGCAAAAAGGGCAAGGGAAAAGCCAGGATGACCGTGGCTTGCATGACGGGAGACTACGCGGTGCAGAACGTCTTGCTGCAGATGAACCTGGCGCTCGTGTCGATTGAGGGTGCGCGCATCGAGAAGGTCAAGAGCTGGGTGTTGAGATGCCACGCCTGCATGAAGTGAGTGTGCGCGCGGTGCAAAGGCCTCTGTCAACATGAATGGGCCACGCCGTGCTGAACAGTACGCCCCAGGATCTGCAAGGACATGGACAAGACGTTCTGTCCCACATGCGGCAACCCCACTTTGCTTCGCACTGCCGTCTCCTCGAGTGCCAGCGGCTCCGAAGTGGTGCATCTGAAGCCCAACTTCGTCTATCGCAATCGCGGCACCAAGTATTCGCTGCCCATTCCGCGCGCCTCCAAGGCGGGCGGCGCGCGCGAAGCGGTGCCCATTCTGCGAGCCGACCAGCAAGAGTGGACGCGCGGCGTGGCGCACGAGAAGGTGCGCATGGAGAAGGAGGAGAGGCGCGCGATGAAGGATGCCGAGAGAGGAGGCGACGGCTGGAGCTCGCGCTACCAAAACGTCGAGGATCTGAGTGTGCTTCTGGCGGGAGGCACGGGCAAGGAGCGGAGGGAAGAGGGAGGCCTGCCTCGCCTGGGCATCGGCCGCAAGAATCCAAACGAACGACGCAGACCTCGTGCCTAGGCGCTCTCCCTGGTTCCCCTCGGCTTTCACACTCACTCGCTTCGCTACTCCCCACGCAAATCCATCTATTGCCCCCCCCCCCCCTTTCTCTCGCGTGACATCCCCACCCTAGGCGCCAAGCCGCGCGTCGATGCTCTTCTTCTCCAGCACGCCCTCGCGCACGTCGAGCACCTTTGCAATGTCGCTTGCCGTGCTGAAGTGCGACATTGCCGAGGCGTACAGCGTCGCCAGCTCCATGGACGACGTTGGCGGTGCCCAGCTGTTGCGTGCGCATAGCGTCAGCGGCGCCTGAGCGGAGAGACAGGGCGCGGACACGCACTAGATGATGACCAATGGCTGTAGGCGAGCAGAGTCAGCGCTGCAAAGAGCTATCGAAGAGGCGTGGCATCCACAACTCACGTACGACTTGCGCCCATCGCGGTGCTCGAGCTCGTACGACATGACTACGAAGCGCGGCGAGTTCTCGGGAAGCTCTGTGTGCGAGAAGAGAGAGGGGGGAGAAGGGGGAGGGCACAATCAGAAGCGGACTCGCATGTGTGCGGGGGCGCGCTGCAGGCTCTTGCCCCACCGCGCTGTGCTCCCCCGCCCCTCCTCCTTCTTCCTCGGTGCCAAGGGCGCACCACCGCGGCGTGCCCTCCCTCGCGCATTGCCCGGCCCATGCGCGCTTGTCCTGCCCTGCCCGATCGCCTTGCCCATCCCGACCCTCGCCTCTTCAGCCCCCCCCCCCCCCCCCCCCCCTCCCCCCGCACACTCACCCTCCTGCAGCTCGTCGAGCGCAATGCCCTCAAACTCCTCCTCAATCTCCATGCGCAGCGTCTTCTTGTCGATCTTGACCACCAGAGCCGCGGCGCCGACGGAGCGCTTGCCCATGCGGAAGGCCTTGAGCCGCTCCAGCAGGTTCGTCGGGATGTCGACCGTCTTCATCGACATTGCTGCGCGAGAAGAGGGGGGAAAGGGGGTGGAGGTGGGAGAGGGAGGTGGGACGTGCGCGCGGCGAGACGTGCTTCCAACACCGCTTGCCGCGGGCGCGGAAAGGGAGCGGGCGCGACGCCCCTTCTTCCCGTGCCGCCTTCGCTGCTCGCCGCTTCCCCCGCAGCCGCTGCACGCTGAACTCTGACTCCGCTCCGCCACAACCGTCGGTCGCCATCGAAGACTCGCGCTCACTTCACACGTCAACAGCACGCACGATCTCCGGGGCTCCGAAAGGTATCTCATGCGGCATCAGCTCGAGGCAGGAGGTTGTACAACGCAGCACAGCCGACATAGGGGTGATGCGACCGCGTCGTGCCAGCACAAGAGCGAGCGCCGCGTTCCAGGGGATCCAGGGGGATGAGAGAAGGCAGGTGTACAGCAGTGCCCGAGACGCATGATCTGCGTAGGTGTATGGATGCAGGATGTCGGGGCAGCTCGCTCGGCCAGCGTCGGATGCATGTGTGGGCGACGCCGCGCCGGGCAAGGGGGGTATGGAAGGGCGAAGAGAGGAGAGAAGGGGCCTCAGAAAGTGGCACCGAGCGGCGCCACGGGCAGCAGCGTCACGACGCCCATGATGGGCAGCGAGTTGCCGTCGGTGACGACCTGGAAGGACACGGCGCACGGCAGCTCGCACAGCTGTGGCGGGCCCGACGCCACGGCGCCCGACAGTGGCTGCGGCAGGGCTGGCTGGGCAATGACGACGCGGCCGGCGGCGCGGATGACCTCGTTGGAGCGTGGACCTTGCAGAACCTGCGCGTATCGCTGGCGAGAGAGAGGGTGTCAACATAGCTCGCCAGAGTCGCAGACGAGGATGGCCTCACCTCGTACACATACGCCGCCAGGTCGGCGCTGAAGACATCCGTGAGGCCGGCTCGGTTGGGATGCAGCTGCGAGGCGTCGAGCTGGAGCATGTCGAGCAGATGTGAGTTTGCATCTGTGTGATGTGGTCAGCGCTGCGCTGAACGAGAGAGCCAGCTCTGCTAGGCGGGAACGCACCACAAATGTCGCCCCAGCGCTTCACCAGCAGCATCGGCGCCGACACGCTCTCGAGCACGGCGTGCTTGTAGTGCGCATACACGCGCGCAAAGTCAAAGTCCTGCCGTCGGCGTTCGGCCTCGTCGAGGCCCATCGTGCGCGGCTGGATCACGGAGCGCAGGCCCTCGACGGCCGCGAGCATGCGGCTGCGATGCGAGGGCGTCCAGGAGCTCGAGAGCGTGCCGCGCTCCAGCCAGCCCTTGAGACGCTCGTACTCGGTGTTTTCCCACGGCAGCGGCGCCAGGGCCTCCTGCATCGGCAGGCCGCTGGCCATGGGCTGCTTGCCCGGCAGCTTGAGGTTGAACGCGACGGGCTGTTGCGGCAGCAGACCGTCGCTGAAGCTGTGCAGCGAGTCGCCGGCACGGCCCATCTCCGCCGCGTCGGCTGCCGCGTGGAGCGCAGGCGCAATGGGCTGCAACGTGCCGTCGGCCAGGCGGAAGCATCCGACGGGTGTCAGCAGCGGCTGCTGGTGGTATGCTGACGTCTCGTCTGCATGGCCCGGCTGTCGACCCTCGTTCTGCCCGGCCGCGCCCTGCGCATTGGCCTCCTTCAAGAACGTCTCGAACGGCGTTAGGCCGCCCATGAGGCTATGTCCGGGCGTGACGCCACTGCCGCCGGGAAAAGAAGCCCAGAAGAGCTCGCCGGCTGGAATGTGCAGGTCGCCGCCGGGCGAGAGCTGTCCCAGGTTGAGAAGCGGGCCGGCATCGTGGTGCGAGTCATCTCCGGCCAAGCCAGGCACGGAGAACGTATGCCCCGTGACGGCGGATGCATGGCCCAGTGACCGCGGCAGTGCGATCGTCGATGAGCTGGGCGATGAGGTGACCGAGTCGAAGCCCGGCACTCGTAGCAGCCGCGCTGCATGCGAAGAGGTGCGAGCTGGAATGCTCGGCCCTGGATCGACTCGCAGCGTGGACTCCTCGCCGCCGTTCATCGTCGCTCGTCGAGCAGCCTTGATTGCCTTCTTAGGACTGGCTGGTAGCGTGCTCGAGGAAGCCACGGCAGCTGTCGTGCTGCTCGATGGTGGACTGAGCGACTTCTTGGGCCGCACAGACGCCGCACTGTGGCTCCGTGGCTTGCCCTTCTTGGTGGCTGGTGCAGCGGCAACAGGCGTGACTGTCGATGAAGACGCAGAGGCCGTGACGCCGGCTGGCTCCTCATCCGCGCACATGTGTGGGATGCCCCGCTTGACGCAGCGCCGGCATGGCCGCTCCTCGTCGCAGGTCATGTGGGAACGCTTGCAGAACAGACAGGCCTTGGCGACCTTGGAGCGCAGACGGTCAGCAAGCAGCCTTGGTGACACGGACACGATGCTCACCTTCTTGACCTTCTTCCGCTTCCCACTCTCTTCTTCCAGCGCTGACGCGCCTGCTGACGTGCCAGCGTCAGAGCTCCGATGTGCTGCCTGCCTGGTAGCGATGCACTCACCTGGCGGCGCCATATCCGCCTCGCCTTTGCTCCACTTGCGCTTCGGCGGCGAGGCGACGGTGGCATCGCGCGAAGTCTCGCGCGGCTGCGGCTTGATCTCCGCCAGCGAGATGCCACCGAGGTCCTGCAGATAGCGGAAGAGCTTCCTTGGCCGGCCCCGGCGCGTCAGGCCGCGGACGGCTGTCTCCGTTGCCGAGCCATCGGTGCTCGGCTTTGCCGCCGCCTTGCGAGCCTTCGACGAGGCACCAGCATCCGCCGCACCGCTTGGCTTCGACGGACCTGCCTGATTTGCGTCGGCCATCTCCTCATCCTCATCGTCTTCCTCCTCTCCGTCGCTGTCGGACTGCTGCTCCAATACCTCGTCGCCGTCATCGCTGTCCTCCTCTCCCTCCTCATCCGGCATGCCTGGCAGGCGAGCAAAGGCGAGGCCACTGCCAATCTTGCCAAACGGCAGCTCGAACGGCGAGTCTTCGGGCGTCGGCGGCTGCGCCGAGGACGCGGATGACGCTGTCGTGCCGCTGCTGTAGCTGTCACTGCGCGGCGGCGGCGCGAGCATGACGGGCCACTGCAGTGATCAGCGCTGATCAGAGGAGTGGACGGCGAGTGGGGGCCTGAGTGCTGGGTGGGCGGCGAGGCGTGGCGGAGGTGGGAGTGGTGGTCAAGTCGCAAGCACAAGCGAGAGGCTGGAGAGTGCAGACTGCAAAGCGGAAAGCGGCACCGAGACGCCAACCAGCACTGCAGCGGCAATGTCGAGGCCGGCGAGCAGGCACTTTGGCCGCTGCTCGAGAGCTCGGCGGATAGGAGAGCGCCACGGCCGACGGGCGCCACTGGACTGGATGCTGGGATGTGCAAGAGGCCGAGCAAGGTGTGCAAGGGCACCGACAGGGCAGGTGCACCTCGACAGCGAGGTGGCCTTCGCCGTTCGGGAGCTCGCGTCGCAATGCAGCAGCAGCAAGACATTGCGGCGCTATCGCCCGGCGCTCCCTCGACCGCATGTTGCGCCTTCTGCTCTCAGCGTGCAGCAGCAGCAGTACTCTCCTCCGAAGGCAGCGCAGCAGCACGGCGAGCTTCGAGGTGCGGGGAACGGCAGACAGAGAGTGTCTCCGATAGTGCCTGCGCCGCTGCCCTCTCGCATCCCCTCCGCGGCCGGCGGAGGCCCATGCGCCTGCCGCGGGAGCGCTGGCCCTCCGCACCACGCCCAGAGTGTCTCACTCATGACGCCGTGCCTGCAGCCAGCTCTGGCGCCGCTGGATGGTGTCCAGCAGGGTCCAGCTGCCGGACGGGCAGGGCGGGCAGCATGCCTGCGCAGGATCGCTGTGCATGACTGCTCGAGGGCCCCACGGACAGGGCATCGCGGCCGGCACAACAGAGAGCCAAGTCCGTGCATCCGGCCTGCATGTGGTGCGGCCGGTGAAAGAGAGGCGCAGGTGCAGCACGCAGGACAACGACGAGCAGCTCGAGATGCAGGGTGCTGCCCGTGGGCGAGTGCCGTGCCCTTTCAGCAGGAAGGAGGCCTGCGGGCATTCTGCTGCCGCTTCTAGCTGCGCCATCTCGACCTCCGTCTCCCGACACAAGCGCCGTCTCGCACATCGCAAATTTTGGCGCAGTGCATCCCCTTCCTCGTCCCTCGCAGTGCCCCTCGGAGGGGTGCGGCGCGCCGCGGTTCGGCCGCCCTTGTGAGAGCAGGCCGACGCCTTTTGAAAGGTCGATGCGCTGCTCAAGGTTGCTGCTGCAGTTGTGCCGGCGGCGGTCGAAGCGGACCTTTCTCCTCGCGCTGCCGCGCGCCGCTGGGCTGGGCAGCACGAGGATCGCTGCTGCAGCGCGACAGCACGGCCGCGATGCTGGTGCTGCGCTGGGAACAGCAAGAGAGAGCGCCGAGGCAGCGCTCCTGGCGCTGCAGCTTAGCGCCGCGCACCGGCAGCCGAGTCCGGCAGGTGCTTTGGCCGAGGCGCCCATGTGACGGCGGGCATCGCCGGGGCTGCAAGTCAGGCACCTGGCGCTCGCTGCGCATCGCAGCGGAGTGCTGGGCGGAGCCCTGGGCGCGGGAGTGGCGCACGGTGGGAGAGAGGGTCAAGCTGAGGTCGCCGACACGCCACGGCCGCCACCGCCCTCGTGCCTGCTTGTGCTCGCCGCCATGCGCAGCGCATGGCCGCTGTGGAGATGCGGGGAAGGCGCTCCTGCTGCTGACACTCGAGCAGGCGGCGATGGCTGGCCTCGCAGCCGCAGATCGGCTGCCATGCTGGGTTGGATGCCATGCCATGCCGCCTTGTTTGCACGGGCGCCACACGGCAGCACCGTGAGAAAAGCCAGCCGGCCGCTCTGCCGCCATCCTTGCTGGATGCGCCTTTCGAGGAGCCCTACTGCGCACCTAAATTTGGGTGCGGCTCAACGAGCTCGGCCAGGAGGTCAGATTTCAAATCTTGCCGGCAGGGCTGCTGCAGCGACGATCGCTTCCACGCGCGTGCGGATGCGGCGCAGCGTGGGCAGAGGCAGCTGCAGAGGGCGCGATCCAGTCAGAGGTGATCGGCGCAGCAGCTCGGTGTCCGCGCTGCCATCGGACTTGGCGGCATCCGCCTCGGCCAACGCCGCACTGAGCCCTGGCTAATTTCGAGCCCTGTCGCGCGAGACCGCCTCCCCGAGGAGCCTGGATGCTCTTCGCTTGGGCGCTCCGCCTTGGCCGCCCCAAAGCCTCGCATGAAGAGGGGCTGAAACGACTCGCTGAATTGCGTCGAGGCAAGGTCGCGCGAGCAGGGCAGCCAGTTGCTGGAGCCTGTCGCCGAGGGCAAGCTGCCACCTCCCTGCCGACGGATCCGAGAGGGCTCATGCTGCGCGGGTCTCTCGCTCGGCTGCATCCTGCGCAATAAAGAATTGCCTCACTGTCCATTCCGCTGCATGCAGCACGGTGCCTGAGTCGTCGGAGAGCATCGCTCATGTCGAGAGCGCTTGCGGAGCTGCAAGCGCGCGCTCGGCCACCTGCAATGCCCTGCACGACGCCGCCGCCGCTGACGCCGACGCGCACGGATGTCGCTGCAGACGCTTGACCATGCCTCCACCGTGCGAGCTCTCTCTCGCATGTCAGACCCCTCTGCATCCTGGGTCTTGGGAGCTGTCAGACTATCGCATCCGCCGGAAGGAGCAGAGGGCGTCAGCGCGGCAAGAAGGCGTGCTCCAAATATAGAGGCGTCGACCGGCGTCGGCGAGTCGCAGGCGCACCAAAGACGACCTCGCGGGTGACCTCGCGAGCCGCCGCGTGGCCTCTGGTGAGCTGGAAGTTGCGTCGAGCGGCTGGTATCATCTCGTCAGCTCTGACTGCCGTCGCAATCCATCAGCAAGCCGAATTGTTGTCCAGCGGCTGCCAGAAAATGGACGACATCGAGGTGAGGCAGGCACACGGATAAGGCAGGTGCAGGGGCGTGTGTGATGTGATGCCCCGGCGTGGGAGCGGCAATCAGGCGCAGCATCACATCACAGCCGCCGTCGCGCGCCATGCAGGGGCCAGCCGCCGGCCGCGCCAATCTCGACTGCGCAGCAGCATCTCGCCTCGTCCAACACCTCCACACCCTCGCCCGCGCCGCCTGCCGTCTTCGCCTCGCTGCAGATCCGACGACTGCCCCGCTCTGCGCTCTCTCCTGCGCCAGTGGCAGCGGACGTTGAAGCAGCGAGTGGGCGCGGCCTCGCTCTCAGGCGCTCTCGCCCCACTCCTCTGACGCTCGGCGGAGCGGCGCCGCTGACCGCGCCACCCACACTCTGGCACGATGAATCTGCCACGACACACGCTCTCATCGTCCGTCGCTTCGCCAGCGTTTGTCTCCGCTCACTTCTGCGCCGCCGAGACGTCAAGGCAGGGCGCTATCAGCGCGGCTGCGGCACCTCCACTTGGCAGAGCAGCGGTCGCGCTCGGCCCCCGAGAGCCAGCCCAAGCTGCGGAGCCGGATAGCCATGCGGCTGGACGGGACGGCGATGTAGAGGGCGCGTCGAACCTCTTCGCCTGCGCCACAAGCTCGGGCTTCTTCGTGGCGCAGGCGGCACCGCTAAAGATCGTAGCTCGCCGAGGTGAGTGCCGTGCAGCGAGCGGAGTGCGAGGAGGGCGCAGTCTCGCTGCCGGCGGAGCACAGTACTGACTGAGATGAGCATCACAGACTTCCCGGCTGCTCACGGCGGGCTCAGCCATGCAGCAGCTGTCGATGACAGCTCGCTGCTGGTCCTGGTCGGTGGAGGGCGAGTGCCGCGCTTTGCGCCGAATAAGGTCGTGCTTTGGGACGAGGCCGCCGAGGTGGTCTCCTCGAGGAAGCCGCCAGAACCAGCACAGACTGCGTACGCCTCGTCTTCGACTCAGGCCTCTACGGTCTTCTCTGCCGGCTCAGGCATCGACCGCGAGAGCCTGTCCGGTCGCGTAGATGCCAGCCAGCATGCAGCACCGCAGCGCGACGGCCACGGCAAGACTGCGGATCGGCTGACGGAAGCGGAGAGGCGCATACAAGACTGGCGCAGTACGGCGGACAGCAGGCGATCTTCGGCCAAGGGCAAGGCGCGCGCAGTCGACCCAGACGAGCTCGAGAACGACGACAGCCGCACAAGTGCATCGGTTGCGAGCCCGACAGCCTCGCTCGCGTCCTCGAGGCTGTCAGTAGCCTCATCCGCCAGCGCGCACGAGCTGTCCCAGTCGCTCTTCGACAGAGACGCCTTTGCGTATGAGGACGATCGGGACGAGCGCTCCATAGCTGCGAGCTCAGCGGGCCTCGACGACCCTTTCGCCGTCACGCCTCCACGACAGCAGTCGCCTGCTGCGGCTCGCACGCCTCGTGACGAAGCTGCGCCTGCCGCTCGCTCGGGTTTTGAGCCGCAGGCATCTTCTGCGCAGTCGCCGCGAGCGCGCAACTCGCGTCCACCACTCAGCCCAGTCGACAATGTCGTGCGCACCGAGCGTCAGGACGCCGCGAGCACAGCAGAGCGGCCTGCTGCAGTGGCGAGACGAGGAAGAGAGGTGGCCGAGCTGGAGTTCGCCGAGGCGGTCAGCGGCATTTGCGTGCGCTCGTTCAACCTTCAAGCGCAAGCGACGGAGAATGAGGCGGCGACGCGAGCTTCGAGCGATGCTCGCCGTAAGCCGAACTTTGCCGACGGCGCTGCTTCGCGCGACCGGGCTCGAGTGGACAAGGCTGTGATACTGGCTGTGCTCCTCCGGAAGCGAGCAGTGATCTTCGAGCTGGTGCCCGGTACTGAAGCCGGTGCCTCGCTCGAGATCCGTCAGCGCGCGTCGACGGAGATCAGCGAGCAGGGCACGGGTGAGTCTGTCTTGAGCCGTGACGCCCTGCTCGTGCTAACGCGATCGCCATCAGCAGGCTTGGCGGCACTCGCGCCCTTTCCTGGTCGCAGCTCAGCGCTCTTGGCCTTGCCCGGACGACAAGCAGGCCACGTGCAGCTCCTGCGCATCCCACTACAGTCGTCGCGCTCATCTGCAGCTGGAGCCACGAGCATTCTTGCAGCGCACAGTGCACCTCTAGCCGCGCTCTGCCTCTCGCCATGCGGTACATTGCTAGCGACGGCCTCGAAGCGCGGAACACTAGTGCGCATCTGGTCTACCGTCAAGCCGGCCAGCAACGGCAGCGGCCGACCACAGGTCGTTGCGACGCTGCTGCGCGAGCTTCGCCGCGGCACCGACCCGGCGCGCATCTTGAGCATGGCCTTTGCGCCCGACCGCAGCTCGATCGCAGCTGCAAGCGAGAAGGGCACGGTGCATATCTTCAACCTACGTGCCGCAGCTGCGGTGCCAAGCGACGGAGCGCGACCACCAGCATCGCCCGGCAAGGCCTTCGGGCTCAGCAAGGGTGCCAACCGCTTCCTTCCCGCGGCGCTCGGCGACATTGCATCTGCGATACCCGCCTCGATGATGCCGCGCTACTTCCAATCGACATGGTCCGTAGCGCAGTACCGCATTCCCCTGCGCAGCTTCTCGGCGCAGGGTGCCGCTGCTCTGACGCGCCCAACACGCACCAAGAAGGACTCGAGCGGCGACTCCTCCTCGACGGCGCCGGTGGGCGGTGGCGGCGCGCGCAGCACCGAAGGTGCCTGGGCCACGATGCTGGGCCGCGTCGACGACGTGAGGCGAGGCGAGCCCGGTGCGGAGGAGCGAGTCTTTCTCGCTTGGGTCCGTGCACCTCCTGCAGCCGACGCCAAGGCGGGCGCAGCATCCGCCAGCAGGACGTCGCGGCGCGAGGCTCCTCCGCTCGAGGCAGCGACGCAAGGCGGAGCGTTCCACCTCCTTGCGCTCACGACGTCGGGCGGCTACTACCGCATCTCGCTCAACGCCGACGACGCGCAGAGCGGCTCGCAGCGTGGCACTCCGCAACGCCGCTCCAGCGAGGACCTGCATGAGGCGTCCGCATCGGCCGTGCTCGACATGTACCGCGAGGACGAGGCGGCAAGCGCTGCTGAAGCGGCATCAGCGGCATCGGCGGCCAAGCGCAAGGCGCGCCAGACGCCAGAGGAGAAGGGCTGTCACCTCGAGGAATTCCGCACCTTTGGCGCCGCCGAGTCGGACTGGAGCTAGGCCGATGCGCGCAATCACAGTCTTCAGCACATTTCACGATCGGGCGGATAGGGCAGAGAGATGGTTCAGTGGCGATCCTGGCGGACCTAGAGGTGCAGCAGCGAAGCACACTAGAATCGGACTGGGGCGGGCTAGAGCAGGAACACTAGTACAGGGAGCCCGTGCTGGGTCGGAGTACAAGGAGCAGGACGCGGAGAGAGACAGCGAGAGAGGCGGGCTAGAGAAGACTGGAGAGGGGGCTATGTGCGAGGGCGTCGCGCGAGCCAGGAGGTGTGCTCGGGAGAAAGACGCGCGGGCAAAGAGGAGAGGAGTTTCGAAAGGGAAGAGAAGGAGACGTGCGGCGGATGGGCCGCTTGCGGGGTGATGTAGCGCCACGAAAGAGGTGTGGGAGCATGGTAATCTTGCAGTTGTGGTGGAGAGGAGACTCGTAGGCATAGAGGCCAGGCCCGACGGCGAGCTGGTCGCGCGCGCGTTGGGCACCGGGTGGCGACTGCGCGCTCAGGCGTCGACCTTGAACGGCTCCTCCGGGAAGCCGTCGCCGAAGCCATCGATCTTGAAGTCCGACGGGTCAGCCATGGCGCCCATGTGGTCGTCCTCATCGTCGTCGTCGCCCGACGTGGCCGTCGAGGCACGCTTGGTGCCGCCGCCGCGCTTCGTCTTGGCTGCCGGCTCGATGCCGTGCGTCGTCTCGTACTCGCGACGCTGGCGCTCGTACTCGGCCTTGTCGGCATCGGCGCGCTCGAGGTAGGGCTGCTTCTCCGTCTCGGAGAGACTGCGCCACTTGGCAGCAGCGAGCACGCTCTGCTTCGTCGTCTCCGACTCGCCCTCGAAGACCTGCTGCATCATGGCCGGGTCGGCACGGATGGCACGCAGGAAGAGGAAGTAGGCACTGAGCGGCTTCTTGGGCGCGTGCGGGTCCTTGAGGTTGCCCTTGCGGCTCTTGCCTGCCTTGCGCTGCGCCGTGCGGAATGCGTTCTCCTGCTTGATGTCCTCGGGCGTGAGGGTCTCACGCCACGCCTCCATGTCCTTCTCCCACTCGGCCTTGAGCTCGAGCGACCGCTCCTGGAACCGCTGTGTGGTAGGGTGGGTTAGCGAGGTGCTGCAGAGTAGAGCCTTCGCGCGTGACGCACCTTCTTGGCCGAGTCGGGCAGCGCAGCGTAGCGCTGGCCGGCGTCCTTGGCGACGTGCGCGACGTTGAGGCGCTCGCCAGGCTGGTTGACTTTCATCTTCTGCAGCTCCTCGGTAAAGTAGACCTGCCACGCCGACGGCGCCTGCTTCGGCGGCTTGAGCTTCGAGCGCAGCACAGCGGGCTTGGCGGCTGTGGGCGAAGTGTGAGACACGGTGATGCGGCAGGCTGCGATAGGCAACTCACGCTTCTCCTCCTTCTCCTTCTTGGCCTTCTTCGCGGGCGCAGCGGCCGGAGCCGGGGCCGGGACCTCGTACGGCGCAGCGCGCTTCGACTTGGCCGCGCCCTTGGCGGGCTTCTCGGCGGCCGGCGCCTTGGGCTCCTTCTCCTTGGCGGCCTTCTTGGTTCCCTTGGAGCGCGACGGGCCCGCAGAGCTCGCCGTCTCGGCACGCGCCGTCGTGGCAGCCGGTGCCGTCACGGCAGCAGCGGGCGAGGCCGCAGCCGGAGCGGCGCCAGCCTGTCCGAGCGTGCCGACGTTGTGCATGCCGGCGCCGACCTGCGGGTAGTGGCCGTACGCGCCGGCGTGGTGCGCCGCCTGCTGATGGCCGTACGGGTGCTGCTGGGCGCCCGGGTAGCCCGCGTGTGCGCCATACTGGTGCTGCTGGTGCGCCGCGAGGTGCTGCTGGCCGTGGTGGCCGTAGTAGCCGGGCTGCTGGTAGCTCTGGCCGTACTGGCTGGCGTACGCGTTCTGGCCGTACGGGTGCGAGCCCGCGGCGGCCGTGCCGGCGGCGCCGCCGTACATCTGCGGGCTGTGGCCGACCATGCGCGGCGAGCGGTGCTGGCCGTCGTACGAGTGGTGCGACGCGTCGGTGCCGGCGGCAGCCGCAGCGCCCGTCGACGCGTGCGAGCCGTAGCTACCGGCGATGGGCGGCAGGTGCATGTAGTGCGAGCTGCTGCCGGCGCTGTCCATGCTCATGTTGCGCGAGTGAGCGTCCATGCCGGTCATCTGGAGCATGTGTCAGTACGCGTCGGCAAAGAATAAGGGCCAGTGCGCCTCCGGCGGAGGCCCATCACGCCCAAGACGCGTCGAAGAGACGGCGACGACGCGTCCGAGGCCATCGACGACGAGCACCCCTGCATCCACCACCACACGCGCGCTCGCGACTCACCACGGCCGGGTTGAAGAACTGCTGGTGGCCAGCCGTGTCCTGGGTGCCGTAGGCGTGGCTCTGGTGGGCGCCGCCGTACGAGGGCGTGCTGCCGGCGGTGCCGGACGGGTGCTGCATGCGGCGCTGCTGCGCGTTGGCGGCTGCCTGCAGAGGCGAGGGCACGGGATCCATCTGCGGAGGGAGAGCGCGACGCGTGGTGGAGCAAGGAGAGGCAGGCACGGAGAGGAAGAATGGACGCGTCGGTGTGAGCAAGGGCTGGAGCGGATGGACGACGTGCGCGCGTGTAGTGCCGCGGACCCGACTCACGGTGATGGTGTTGCGGGTGATGCGGACTGCAGGCACGGGCGGGAAGGAGCGGCGGCGGCGGAGGAGGATGCAGGCCGGGTCAGTGTCGGTCAAGTGTTGGACTGGGACGGCGGCGGCGGAGGGAGCGCAGGCGGCGGCAGGGCGTGGGTGTCGGGAGTAGGACGCGTCGCGACGCGCGCGAAGGGCGGGCAGCGGCGGCGGCGCGGCAGAGGCAGGCAGGCCGCGCGGCCACCGCACGCCGCGGCCGCATGCAGCGCGGCGGCGGCCTCGCGCCCCACAGCTCGTGGCCCCAGCACCGGCCGCCACCCATCACAGATGACGAGCAGCAGCCAGCGCCGCCTCGACAACAGGCAGCTTGCACAGCTAGAAGCTGAAGAAGCGCGAGACAGCGTAGCGACGTGCGGATGCTGCACAGCCGGATGTATGCAGCGAGCCGACGGATGGCGACGACGAAGGCACCCGCTGCGCAGCCGTGCCGTGGAGGCGACGACGGCGCGGCGGGGTGCTCTCGGCGCACACGGCGAGCAGAGGCAGAGAGGCGCACGAGAGTGGAGCAGCGGGGCGCGCAGCGAGAGGCACTCACCAGCAGCGGTGTGCTAGTCGGCGTAGAGCGTGGGACCGGACGGCGACGACGGCGAGAGATCGGGCGCGCGACGACTGCAAGCGATGAGGCGAGGCACGGGCGCGGTGGCGACGACGGCGGGTGCGCGCGCGCAGAGGGGACAGACACGGGTGGAGAGTGACAGGTGGCGCAGGAAGAGGGGATGCACAGGCAGGGCAGCGGAGCAGGGGCGAGGCGGCACGGCGAGGGCGGAGAAGGAGACGGCCGAGGTGGGTGAGCAGGGCGCGCAGAGGCAGGCAGCGAGACGGTGCGCGAGGCAGGGCAAGCGTGCGCGGCGCGAGGCAGACGCAGACGAGCGAGCGAGCAAGGCAAGCACGCAGCGATGCAAGATCTGCAGCGGAGCGAGACGAGGGCCAAAGGGGCGCGGCGCTGCGAGGGAGAGAGGCAAACTCACGAGGTGCGTGGGCGGGCGTGCGACGAGCGGGAGAGCGGGCGCGCGCGGTGAGGGAGGGCAGGAGCTGAGGGAAGGGGACGCGCGCGGGCGGGCGGGCGCAGGCGGCGTGCTGAAGAGCGGCAAGCGGGCACAGCAGCGGGCAGAAATGCGGGTGCGCGGTGGTGGTGGGACGCAGGCGGCGCGCCTGCGCCGGCGCGCGGCCTCGCGCAGAAACGCGGGTCCGCCGGCCGCGGCCCGCGCGCTGATGCTGACTCAGGCACCTCGGCTGTGCGCCGCCGATCAGACTACAGAAATAGATCTGGCGCAATACAGTCAGGTTGTAGTGCTCGCAACTGTAGCCGCTTGCCGCAGCGCTGCCGCAGCAGCACCCTTCGAGGCAGCGAGGGGCGTTTGAGGAGCGGCGCGGCGAGGCGAGATGAGCCGCCGCACCGGCGCCGGAGCGGCTGAGGGATGCATGCACGAGCACATGGGCAAGAGCGACGAGGGCGACGGAGCAGCCTTGCGCGCAGACTCAGCCGCTGCCCGTCTCTCTCGAGGTGCTGCGAGGCGTCCAGACTGGCGCTCTGCCAACGCACGGCACCGCTCCACGGCACGGCCGCGCCCACAGATGCGCGCCGCCGCCGGTACCGTAGCCGCAAGCCAGACCGCTTGGACGCCGCCCGAGCGCCGCCCGCCGCTCAAACGCCAACTCGCAGCGACCGCATCGTGCCGCATCCAGCACCAGGCGCCTTGGCCCTCTCCGCATGCCGGCGCTTGAGCGCTGCTGCTGCTTCATGCTTGTGCTGCTGCCACTCGCGACTGCCAGCTACCGCGGCTCTGGTCCCCATGCTGCGTGCTGCGATGCTGCCGCTGCAGTACACAGCATCTGCTGCTCCATCTAATTGTCCAGGTGCAGCCACTCAGGTGCTGCGTCGCTGGTGCGCTCTTGGGACGCTTGCACCGCGGCCCAGCTCCTGCGGATGCCCGGGCGCTGTGCTACTTGCCTGCTTCAGCCCTCGGAGCTGCTGCTCTCTGTGTGTGACTAAGGATCAGAGTAAGAGTCTGAATGCTGCTGATCCACATCCTCGAGCTCGTCCACAGCATGTATCGCCGCACCGTGGGCTGCTCAGAAGCTCGTTGAGTGCAGACGGCTGCTGTGCAGCTGCGCCCGATGTGAGCACTCGGACTTGCTCCGCAGCTCAACGTTGATGCAGCCGCTGCAATTCGAGCGTTGATGCGCTGTGATGTCGCTCAACGATGCCCTGCACCTGCCTCGCCAGCAGGCGGCAGCAGCAGGCGGTCCGCACTGCCTCCGATTCAGATTCTCATTGGCCCTGCCGCTCAAACGACAAGCAGCCTCCGCCTTGCCTCCCGCAGCATGTTCCATCACAGCTCGCGCTCAAGCGCACGTCATAGATCTCTCGGTGACCGCAGCGTCGATGCACACCGTATGAAGGCAACACGAGTCGAATTGACGATGCGGTACTGGAACAAGTACAGATGATGGACGGGCGTTTGGGAGGGCGCAAGTCGCTCCTCGTGGTGGAGCATCGGCTGGACGATCACTGACCGCCGATCTTGGAGCGCCATCCGGGAGCGCGCTCGAAGCCGTCTGAGTGAAAGGGGCAGGGGTCAGCAACACGCCAATCTCACGGCGCGGCAAAGCCGCAGCAGAGCAGACTCGTGCTACTCACTCTGGCCATATTGATAGTCTTCAAAAGCTTGCCGGATTTCAGCTGCGCTCGTCATGACGAATGGCCTACAAAGGAAGCTCATCAGCGTCTGCAGCGTCTCTGAGCATGTCCACAACACTCACCCATGCTGGTACACAGTCTGGTCAAGCGGCATTCCCGCAATCACAAATGCGCGTCCCTCCTCGCCCTCCTTGCCCGCGTGCTCGAGCCAGACGCCCGTCTCCTGTGGCACAGTGGACGGGTCCGTCTTGGGGTCCGTCACCACGGCCTTGTTGCTGAGCACGAGCGTGTGGAACTTCTCGTGTGCGGCCAGAGAGGCGTCGTCGCCAACCTTGATCGGCGCAGAATCACCGACGTAGATGAACGCAGTCCAGCCAGTCGGAATAGGCTGGAAGACTCTAGCGCCGGGCTTGTTGAGACGCACATCCAGGTACCTGAATGATAGAGTGTCAGCACGAGCAAGAGCTGAGCAGCGGCAAGACTGACCAGCACTGGCCACGTTCGGGCGAGCGGACGGGCGACTTCACGCCGTGCGACTCGCCAGCAAGGATCTTGATCTCCCAGTCACTGCCCTCGGTCTCGATGGGCTCCGAAGGACGAGGCCGCGCCGTCGGCATCTCTTCGGCCGTGAACTGAGCAGCTTTGAGTCAGCGGAGCGTGGCGATCTCACGCCAGCGCGCGTGCTCACCTCCTGGTAGTAGGGCTCGCTCATCTTGGACTCCTCCGGCAGGTCGATCCAGAGCTGCAGGCCGACGGGGTCAGGCAGCTTGTTGCCTTGTGCATCTCGGTGGAGTGGCATCTCCGCGTGAACCTGTGGAGAGGACAGAGCCGTTCAGCATGGGCTGCTGGTGGCACTGGCGGTGCGGACTCGCCGAGAACGGGGAGGACACTCACCACACCACGACCTGCGCTCATCACCTGGCTGGCGCCTGGGCCAATGATGCCGGCATTACCCATGAAGTCCTCGTGCTGAAACGCCCCTTGGAGGACGTACGTCACCGTGGTCATGCCTCGGTGCGGATGATCGGGAAAGCCTGCACCTTCGGGTGCGTGGAAATGATCGTACATTAAGAAGGGCGAGAGGTTACGAAGCGCAGGTGTGCCGATGCTGCGGCGAACGACTGAGGAGGAAGGAGGGTCAGGAGGGGGTGCGCGGTGGACGAGGAGGCGCGCGAGACGCGCGTGCGCGACGTTTCCGACGCCGCGCACGGCCCGCGCGATTTCTGCGCTCTAGGCTCGACTCGGAGAATGACTCACTAGCACCGGCGCCCTCCGGCGTCTCGATCGCCGGCACCTTCTTGACGACGGAGCGGGAGAGCATGGCTGTCGAGGCGTTGGCCGACATGCGGGAGACGGCGGAGCGGAGAATGGTGGGGTCTGCTGGGGAGAGGTAGAAGTTCGCTAGCAGAAGGGCAGCGAGCGCTGAGAAAATAGCGAGAAGAGAAGAAGCGCGAGGAAGGGCGGCTCTTGTAGGCATCGAGAGGTGCGAGGATGGAAGTGGGCGGAAGGACAGGTATGCGGTGCTGGAGTTGGGCGCCCGTGCGTCCGGCGCGGAGTTTGCGAGTGCCGCGCGCCTTACGGCCGACGCAGGATCCGCGGCAGATTCTTCGAGAGCGTGCCAAGCTTTTGATCTCGCCGCGATTGCCGGGCCCCTGAGGCGGAACGCTCTCTCTGTTCCACCTCGAGCCTCGTTTAGCACGCCCAGGCCCCACCAACGTGCCTTGCGGCCGCAAGCCGATCGGCCGACGTCGTCTGGACCTTCGAGCACCTTGCTGTGCTTTGCGGGATGCATCTCGAGTGATGGAGCAGGCCCGAGGAGAGCCGAGCAGACCTGCAGGCGCACGGGCCCCGCGCACGCACGGGCTGCGAGCTTGGGCGTCGGCGCTTTGACGTCGCATCACGTCGAGGAAGCAGGAGCTCGCTGGTACCGTGAAGGTGGATTTGGCGCAGCTCTGAGCCGAGCAGCGAAAAAATGGGCGCAGGCGGACGTACACCGCGGAGGCGAGAAGGCACGCTGCGAGCGCGTTCCCGCACACCCCTGAGCGAATGTCGCGCGGGCGCGTGCCTGCGTCTGATGCCCCCCTGAGCGCGGCTCGCTCGTGCCGAGAGCTTGATGAACGGCTCATCAGTGTGCGTGCGTGCCGTGGCGAGCTCTCCTAGCCGCGCTCTAGAAGGCGGCTGTGGGTTGCGAGAGCGGAAGCTTTCGAGGACCCCTGCATCTGCTGCGCCCGCAACACCTCCTCCTCTGAGCGGCTGATGAGGCCTTTTTGCCCTCGTACCTCGCCCACCTGCCTCGCTCGCTGATGGCCACCACTCTCTTGCTGGCGCTTCTGTACGCCGCCGAGCGAGGGCCGAGAGGCATCCGACGCCCACCTCTTGTGCCCTCTCGCTCCGCTTCATAAGGCGCCGTCTCCGCGACTCGCAGCCGTGCGCCCACCATCCCGTCTCGTTCCCGGTCCGGTCTCGTCATGCGTCTCTCCCTCCCTCTCCTCGCGCTAGCGTGCCTCGCACCGGCAGCACTGGCGCGCACAGTGCGGGTCCACCTCGACGTCTCGCTCGGCACCCTCTGGAGCGATGGCACGCCTCAAGTCCACTCCGCGCTCGTCAATGGCACGTCGCCCGGCCCAGCGCTCCGCTTCCAGCTCGGCGACTTCATCCTCGTCAACGTGACCAACTCGCTCGAGTATGCCAACACTACGATACACTGGCACGGCTTGAGCATGATGCTCACGCCGCTGGTGGACGGTGTGCCGCTCGTCACTCAGTGGCCGATCGCGCCCAACCGGTGGTTCGAGTATGGGTTCAAGGCGGAGCAAGTCGGTGAGCACTGGCTGTGCATTCCGCCAACGTGTGCGTGCTGAACCTTTGCAGGGACCTACTGGTACCATAGTCACGTGGGGCTGCAGGTCATGTCGGCGCACGGAGCATTTATCATCGAGGACCCAGACGATCCCTACGCCGATGAGTACTGCCAAGACGTGCCGCTCATGGTCGGCGACACGTTCCACAGGCCGCAAGAGAAGATCCTCGCGGGACTCTACGGCGAGCCGTTCCAGTGGATCGGCACGGCCAAGGCGCTCACGATCAACGGCAAGATGATCGGCGGAGTGTGCAACGAGACGGAGGCGGCGGCGCAGGAGGTGTCGTGTGCCGACAGGCCGGCCGACGGACCGGCAGAGGAGCAGCCGCATGTCATTCACCTGGATTATGAGCAGACGGCGAGATTGCGCTGGTGAGCACGCTCCGGCAGCATCCGATACCCTTCTTGACACGACTGCAGGATCGGTGCACAGGCTCTCATGTATCAGACGATCGGCGTCATGAATCACTCGATGAAGCTCATCGCTGCCGATGGAACGTATATCAAGCCGATGGAGATCAGCGCTGGTGAGTGGTGCTGTCGCTGCAGAAGCTGTGGCATGCTCAAGCTTGTTTCCGCAGTCGAGATCGCAGGCGGCCAGCGCTACGACACGCTCCTGACGGGCAAGAGCGAGGATGAAGTGAAGACCGACGGCCTGAGTGGCTGCTACTTCATCCGCTCCGAGTCTCGCTGGCGTGAGTCATCTGCAGCTTCAGCACATCTGTCTTGTCTTGACACTCTCACAGGCGAGCCGGGCATCAACAGCTGGACCGGGCTTCTCGCCTATCCCTCCTGCGACATCGCCAAGGCCCTCTCAAGCCTTTCTGCAGCGACGTCCGAGAAGATCCTCAGCGACGCAGTGCCCAAGTTCGGCTGGCTCACCGCCGAATTTGAGCCGCTCGAAGGCGCGAAGCAGGAAGACACATTCCCGAGCGATGCAGAAGTGACGAGGCGTGTCTATATCGACGCCCAGCAGATCCCGGCTGGTCCGTCTGGGAAGGGTCAGTCGCGCGAGACCGCAACGAGGGTGCTTCAGCTGATGTTGCCTTCTTCGCCAGGCTCTCGATGGGCGAATAACGGTGTCGTTTACGCCGAGGAGAGCAACGCGCTGCAGAATGCCACGACGGACACGCCCTACCTCATCCAGATCTTCAAGGGCGAAGCCGAAGCGCCGTCGTACTCGCGCGCGATGGACCCAAATCAAGGGCCCTCCGGCTACGATCCAGTGTCTAAGACATGGGTCGCCAAGGCGGGAGAGGTGATTGACATCGTCATCATCAACAACGCCTCCGCGACGGGGCACCAAGTCGAGGTGCGCTGACCGCATCGTCTTTGCATCGTCGCTCTGCTGACCACACTTCATCGACAGGTTCATCCGTGGCACAGACACGGCGACAAGCATTGGACGCTGGCAAGTGGCCCCGGCATCTTCTCCGACGCCGCTCTTGCAGAAGCTCGGGCTTCGGGCTTCAAGAAGCCCATCGCACGCGACACGAGCGTCATCTATGCCGGACCTGGCGCTACCATCAACCCCGGCGAGCTGCTGCCTTCAAACTCTTCAGGAGGCTGGCTGGTCATGCGTACGAAGGTGCAGAGCGCAGATCTGGGAGCGTTCTTGCTCCACTGTCACATAGCCCCGCATTCCGCTATGGGCATGTCGATGACTTGGGCAATGGACGTAGATGAGCTACGGACGAGTCAGGCCATGAAGGCGTACAGCGAGTGAGTTTCTGGGCTTTCGGGCCCAACTTTGCCTGAGCAGAGCTCCTCGGCTGACACTTCAACTCTTCGCTAGCCCAAACATCCTTTACTTTGGTCGCAACGTGCGCTCGCCTTACCATGAGGACAGCGTATGATGCCTGCGCACCACCGTCCACATGCCCTTCTACCACTTCTTATGCGCGTAGCGCAGCATCTAGAGCTCTCGTATCGTTACTTCACTCGCACATCTCAAGCAGTTTTCTTGTGCTACGTGTGAGATGTCGGCCGGTGTGTTGCGGCAGCGAAGGAGAAGCCGTTGCGAGTCGGAGGTTGAGCATGTCGGAAGTAGTGCGGCGACGGCAGCACGTCTCGCAGCGCTGCGCCGCAAGCGGCGAAACGCGCGCGCCACGGGGCGCCGCGGGGAGCTTGCGGCACGGCGCGGCGGTGGCTGCCGTGCTGTGCTGGCATGCGGCCGCAAGCTGCGCCCACAACAGCTGTCCTTCTCGCGCCCCGCCTCTCACTCCAACACCCTGTCCCGCTCCTGCCTTGCTTCTGCTACCTCTGCCCAGTCACCCGTCACCGCTCTTCTCTCGTTCTTGAGCTTGCACGTTCAGCTCGCTCAACTATCTTGCAGCCGCGCCTCGGCCTCCTGTCCCTCTCGCGCACCCCGCGGCCAAGTGTTGTTCTCACCGAGCCGCCGCACCGGTCGTGGGCCTGCTCGAAGCATCTCGCCGCCATGGATGACCTCCTGGATCTAGACTGGTCCGGCTCCAAGACGTCGGCGCCGCCAAAGAGCTCCACGCTCGCGGCGCCCGCCCGCCCGGCGCTGGGCCGCCAGCCGAGCAACACGTCGTCGTCGTACAACTTCGACGCGCTGACGCGCGCCATGCCCACCTCGACGCCGTCGCCGCAGCCGTACCAAGCGCGGGCAGCTGCGGCTCAGCCCGCCCAGCGCGCGGCGCCTGCTGCATCGAGCAGCGCCGCTGGCGCAGGCGATGCGTTCTCCTCCCTGCTCGACCTCGGCTCCACGCCGGCAGCGCAGCAGCGCATGACGCTGGCCGAGCGCCAGCGGGCGAACATGGCGCCAGCGGCGGGCAAGGCGGCTGTGCCGGCAGTGAACGACACCTGGGGCGCAGGGGACGACTGGGACTCGTTGGGCTCGTCGCAGCCCGCGAAGACGTCGACAATCAGGTGAGTTCGAACCTGCACGGACGTTGCTGGAGGCAGGCGCCTCCCGTACTTGGGCGCGGCAGGCTGATCGTGCGGCCCTACAGCGCACCTGCTCCGCCGTCGCCGTCAGATCCGTTCGACATGAGCGTCTTCAGCGCTCCAGTGCAGGCGGCCCGACCACCGCCCACCTCTGCTCGGCCTGCGCCTGCGCCGGCACCAGCGCGTCAGCGTGCTCCCGCGCCGCAGCCCAAGCCGGCAAAGGAGCCAGAGCTGCCGCCTCGCAAGCCCGCTGCGATGGACATGTTTGACTTTTCCGAGTTCGAGGACGGAGCGGACGCGCAGAGCAGCGCGCTCGCTGCGTTTGAGGACGACTCGCAGGCCCGAGCGCCGCAGAGCAGGAAGCGGGAGAGCCGCGCCTCGCCCAAGCCTGCAGTCACCAGAGGCTTCTCGGACGACGGCCTCGATGCTTTCCTGAGTGGCCGCCCGAGCGAGACGGCTGCTCCGCCCCGCACATCCGCTCGCGCCTCGCCCGCGCCGCGCGCTCGCCAGACGTCGAGCACGTCTGGCTCCAGAGCGGCGTCTCCGCCGCCACACATCATCGGCCAGATCGTGGAGATGGGCTTCTCGCCGGCGCAGGCGCGCAAGGCGCTGGCTGCGACGCCGACCGGTCTCGATGTGAGCGCTGCCCTCGAAGCGCTGCTCGGCGGGCAGCAGGGCAGTGCGAACGAGCCGGCGTCCCGCGAAGACGCCGATCGCAAGCTCGCCGAGCGACTGCAGCGCGAGGAACGCAGGAACGGAGTGCGCGACGACGGCGAGTGGGACGGCGAGGCCAACCGAGCGGCGGCACAGCGTCGTCGATGGGGCGATGACGGAGCTCAGCGTCGCGGAGCTGGCTCCTCCTCGCCCGCCAAGCGCGCGGGCGACGATGGCCAGCAGGACGCCGACTGGGCCAAGCAAGCCGACGTGCTGTATGCGCAGGCGTCGGAGCTGGGCGCGGGGCTCTTCAAGAGTGCCAACGCGTTCTGGAGCACCGCCAAGGCCACTGCTCAGAAGGCGCTCGAGGAGCGACAGGCGGCCGGCGCAGGCTCGGGCGGCGAAGGCAGCGGGCGCAACAGCCCGGCAGGCGCAAACGAGCGCGCGTGGAACCGGCGCTGGGGCGTCAAGAAGGAGGCCCCGAATCTGGACGGCCGACCGCGATGGATGGTCGAGGCTGAGGCGGCAGAGGCGGCCCACAAGGCTCGACCAGCCTCAGCAACCAACGGCGCAGCTCCTCGCGAACCCGCAAACGCCGGCACCACGTTCAAGGACTCGGACGACGAGGAGCAGGTGCCTGAGAGCGCAGAGCGGCGAGCGCCCGCTCCGCGTCCTGTGCCTGCTGCGCCTGCGCCCGTCGTGCGGGAAGCGGCAGGGAACCTGTGGGACATGGAGCCCTCAGCAGAGCAGCCCAAGCCTGCCAGTGCGGCGGCTCGGTCGTCCGCGGCGCAGCCAGCGCCAAAGCAGCCATACGTGTCCCCCGCCCGCCGGGGCGGCAGTCGCGCCAGTGCCGCACCGTCTCCCGCTCCTGCCGCTGCCAGCCAGGTGCGCAAGAAGACACGGGTCGTCGAGCCCGACGCTGCTGCAGCTGTGTCAAGCGCTGCGTCGGACAAGGCGGCGGGCAATGAGTGCTTCCGGCGCGGAGCCTACAACGATGCCGAGATCGCCTACTCGCGAGCGCTGCAGAGCCTCGGCGGCGGCTCGCTTCGCCGCATTCCTCTGCTCAACAACCGCGCCAGCGCGCGTCTCAAGAACGGCGACGCGACCGCAGCCGTGGCGGATGCTGATGCCGTGCTCGTGCTCATCCTGCCGGACGGTGACGGCAACGGCGCGGCACGCGGCCTGTACAAGCCCTCGCTCGAGGGCGAGCTCCCTGCCGAGCTCGGCGCCGAGGTCAACCTGCGCGACGCCTACGCCAAGGCGCTTCTGCGGCGCGCCCAGGCTGGCGAGATGCTCGAGAAGTGGAAGGCGGCCAACGCGGACTGGGAGGGACTAGCTCGCTACGAACGCGAGGAGGGCAGCGGCAAGGCTGGTGCGCAAAACGTGCGCGCCGCCAGCGAGGGCAAGGCTCGCTGCCAGAAGATGCTCTCGAGCGACGGCGGCGCCGCTCCTGCACCGCGTGCCGCTGCTCCACGACCAAGTGCGGCTGCCTCGGCTGCTGCTCGGCGAGCACAGGCGGCGTCGGCCGCTGCAGTGCAGAAGGCCGAGGATGCGGCGCGTCAGCGAGTGCGTGCCGAGCACGCCGCGGCCGAGGCCGAGGATGCGGCCAAGCACAGTCTCAAGGACAGCGTCGACGCGCGCATCCTCGCGTGGCGCGGCGGCAAGGAGACGAACCTGCGCGCGCTGCTTGCCAGTGTCGAGAGCGTGGCGTGGGAAGGGCTGGCGTGGAAGAAGATTGGCATGCACGAGCTCGTCACTGATGCGCAAGTCAAGAAGGCCTACACGCGTGCCATTGGGCGCTTCCACCCCGACAAGCTGGCGCGCGCCAGCATCGAGGAGAAGATGATTGCCGCCTCCGTCTTCTCGGCGCTCAACGACGCATGGGTGGCGCAGAAGAAGTGAGCGGGCGGCTTCCCTCACCTGCACCTGCCTGTAGAGAGTCTGGCACGCAATCGAATGCATCCTGAGCAGGCGTGAGAGAGAATGAGTGCTTTGGAAGGGAGCTATGTGTACAAGCATGACGGGGTTGAGCCAACGACAGCGGAGAGCGCGCAGAGGGTTTTGAGCGGGGCGTGGGGCCTCAGGCTGAGCCTTCAGTCACTTCTCGCAGGTAGAGGACGTTGTTGCAGCGGATGAAGACCTCGCCCAGCATGCCGTTCGACTTGCCGTCCTGGAACTCCTCGGCGTTGGCCAGCTGGCGGAGGCGAGGAGAGTCAGCAGCCGTGCGATGCGTGGCTCATCCGCAGTATCAGCGTGCCCTTCCCAGCTACGCCAGCACGCCGACGCAGTACGACAGGAAGTCGAGCGCCCGCTCGATGTGCGACGCCAGCCCCCGCTTCCCGACCCTGTGGGCGCAGCGTCGCGCCATGCAGCCCCGCGCGCAGACTCTCAGCTTCGACTGGAGCAGCACAGCTCGCTCTCCCCAATCGGCAGAAGACGTAGCCCTTGACCCCTGGCTGCGCGCAATGCGTCTGTGCCCCTTGCGGCCGAGCGCTCAAGCGGCCTCGTGTTGCTTCCTGGGCGGTGGCGCTACGACTGCCCTGCGAGAAGGGCTGCAGGAGCAGCACACAGCCTCCACCTGCGACCAGGCACCGCCCGCTGCCTCGCCTTGCTACTGTCCGCCATGCTGCTTGTATGTGCGGCCATCCCTCTGCAGCGCTCAAAGACACAGAGCAGTGCTGTCGTAGCCCGCAACGGCGCTGCAGAGCACCGATGCGAAGAAGCCACTCGGCCTGTCCCTCTGCGCACGGACTCACCTGGAAGTTCATGTAGTTGTCCGTCGAGACCAGGAAGCCCTTGTACTCTGCAGAGGTACGTAGCACATCAGCTGCTGTCCTGCGCCTGACCTCCCGCAAGCACCGCTCACCCATGCCCCACTTCAGGCGCACCACGACCGGCTTGCCGGTCTGCATCTGCAGGAACGGCTTGGGGTTGACGGGCTGGGCGGACGGCGCTGTCAGCATGCATGCCGGAGCTGGGAGGCTGCGTCTCGACTCACGGCGGACGACATGGCGTGTGAGTGTGTCCGGTGGAGGTGGTGGTGGTGCTGCTCGTCGTCGTCGCTGACGTGCGGCGCGATGTTGGCGCGGCGGCGGCGCGCGGCGGGCGGCGCTTCGGCGTGGCCGGCCGACGAGCGCCGGCGTCTGCGCGGCCGCCAAAAGATTCTGGCGCGCGCGCGCGGCAGCGGCGAGCGTTCCTCGCTTCTTCCTATCTCCCACCCACTCCCTCCGCCCGCCATGAGACTGCTCACGCACAATCTGCTCTCCTGCCACGCGCGCACGTGCGTGCAGACGTCGAACAACTTCCCGCTGGCGTTCAAGGATGTGCAGCTCGAGCTCATCGAGGCCGAGTACAACGAGGCCTTTCTGCGCGGCTTCATCCCCAAGATCCACTGGCCGGCCCTCGTCGCTGCCGCGCGGCAGGTGCGTCGCCATCTCTGAGGCGGGCATCCGTAGTGGATCTGACGCTCTCCACAGCTTGGCGACTCGAGCTTGCCGGACCAAGGGCCGGATGTGGGGCAGTCGATGATCGACGAGTCGCTGCTGAAGGCGCTGCACCACGTGCTCCTCGAGGTGAGTGACAGCCGCGAGTGAGACCCGAGGGAGAGCAGAGGCAGCGCACACTCAGATGATGAGAACTTCAAACCAAAAACATTATCAACTAGAAGCTGTTGCTGAGCCCCCGTTTTGCGGGGGTAATGCTTTAGACAACTCTTGCTGATCTCTGTGTGCGCTGCTCATCGTGGCTGCTGGGGAGGGAACATGTGCTGGGCGTCAGGCAATGTCGCATAGCTCACGCTGACACTGGCATGCTCGTGGCGCAGGTGCACGTCGTCGAGGGTCAGATGCTGTGCCCCAACTGCTCGCACATCTTCCAGATCCGCAACGGCATCCCCAACATGGTGGGTCCGCCATGCGCTCCAGCTCGTGACCCATCGTCTGACCATCGATGTCTTAGCTTCTGGCCGAGCACGAGATCAGCAAGTGATCAGCTTGCCTCTCTCTCTAAGCTTTCAGCGCCGCGTTGCGCGCTTCTCTGCCTCCCTTCCTCTTCCGCTGCCTCTCTATTCGTCACCACACCACTGTATTCTACGCATCACATCCACCGCATGTCCACACGATCACTCGCCTCTTCTGCTTCTGTCCTGTCCAGCTCAACCTGTTGGCGAGTTTCGCGTCTGCGGCCCAGCCTACCTCGCGGCCGAGCTTGGAGTGGGCATCGCGCGATGTGTGTCGCACTCGACCTCCGCCTTTGAAGGTACTCAGGCTCACCTGCATCGTCCCGGCGACAGCGTCCCGGCGACAGCATGGAGGAACGGAAGGGCACAGCCTTTGCACCTGTCGTCGCTTGGCAGCACGCCTGGGCGAGAAGCGCGGCGTAGCGTGGGCGCCACCGGAGGGAGACAAGATAGAAGCGCAAAGCTTTGCTGCTGAGGCATCGACGGGCGAAAAGCCTCGCGACCTGTTGCGGACCTCGCTGCAAGCAGCGAAGCGTTGTTGCACACTGCAGATTGGCTTCTTTGAGGTACCAGCATGATTTCGAGCGCAAACCGGGCCGGACTGCTCGCCGTCGGCTGGAGGTGCAGGAGCTCGAAGTGCGGTCAAGAGGCCGCCAAGCGCCATCTTCGGTACGGCCCAGCCGACGGCCGTGGGAGCAGCGCGTCGGCGTCGGCGTCGGCGTGGGGAGCGAGGCGTGCGGCAGGCCTGGCAGGCGCGCGCAGCGGGAGCGCCAGCACGCAGCACAGCAGCGCGGCACTGCAGGCAGGGCGGCGCAGCCTCGGCAGGCCGGGAGCGAGGACGCTCGAGCCTCTCGCAGCCAGCAGCAGCCGGAGCAGGAGCAGCACCAGCAGCAGTACGCGCGTCCGGGCCCCGGGCCACCTTCTCAGCCTCATCTTTCCCCATTCATCGCCTGACCTCGCACGGAGTACGCTTGCTCCCGTGCGAACAGGTGCCGGACTCAGCGCGCGACCCGCACAGAGGGCACGCCGACAGGCCTTGCACGCACTCCTGCCTTGTCTGCACTTGCTCGGCGCGCGTCCCCGCAACGGCCCCTCGCGCGCGTCTCATCACACCGGCCACACGACGCCGACAGCGAGCGACAACCGGCTGCGCACCAGATCGCCGCCGCTGATCGCTCGCATCAACCTGCCTGCGCACCGCCTCTATCTTTATCCTCACTGCGCCGTCGTCTCTGACCTGCCGCAGCGAGCGCCGAGCGAGACAGTAGCACCTTGCGACGCTCTGCCAGCGCCCGGCTGAGCAGCAGCAGCAGCGCAGCCAGCCATGTCGGGCCGCCTGCCGTCCTTCTCCTCCTCCTCGGTGCACTCGCACTCCTACTCGCTCTCCCACTCGCACGCCCAGGGCGCCAATGCCCTCGGCCTCGAGCGCGACTCGGTGCGCTCCGGCGGCACGCTCAATGGCGCGGGCGACTCGAGCATCGGCGGCGATCCGGGGCCGGCGTCGGTCTCGGGAGCAAGCCAGATTCTCATCGCCAGTATTGTGCAGCGCTTCGTCAACCGCGTGAGTGGACAGGCCGTGGTCCTGGGCGCTGCTAGGCCCCGTCGCTCGAAGCGCCACTGTGGGCGGCTCGGGAAGAGGGCGAGCGGCAAAGGCGGGCTGCGAGGACCTTGACGGCATCTATGTGGCCACTGACACCCTTTGCCCTCCAGCTGCCGTACAACTCTGGCTGGCGGCTGTCGTCGCTGGAGAATGAGGAGCTCGTCCGATCCTGCGTTGCCAACCTCGTCGAGCTGAGCAAGCACCAGCTCGCCGGCGTGGTCAAGGAGCTGCTGGGCGTGCTTGAGAACCTCAACAAGGTGAGTGAGGCCCGGACAGCCAGGCGTCTGTCTGTCGTGTGCTGAGATCGTGCTGCAGCAATCTGGGCAGCTTGGTCACGAGGACAAGGTGGGCATCGACGTGATGCAGTCGCAGCTGTTCATGCTGCAGGTGCTGGTCGCATGCCTCGTGCACCACTGGCGTGCGCATGCCGGCATCGACGAGAACGGCTTGCCGCTGCCCTCCGACTCGCGCCGCGGCTCTCTGCCAGCGATGGATCTGAAGGGCGACCTGGCCGGCATTCCGCGCGGCTGGAGCGATCCACCGCCCATGGACGACTCGCTGGCGAAGCACGTCCTCAGCCTCATGACCGTCTTCCTGCGCCAGACTGTCGCGCGTGAAGAGGCGCTTCTTGCCGGCGGCGGCGAGGGCCTCGAAGGCGTGCGCAGCCTCAAGCCTGACGGCAGCGGCGTGGGCACAGGCGGCTTCGCTCGAGGCGCCGGCGACAGAGGCCTGCGGGATCACGAGCGCGGCGCAGGCGGCGCGTCCACCAGTAAGAGCGGCTTCGGCAGCTCGTCCAAGGCCTCGTCCGGGCCTGCGTGGGACGAGAACGACAGCAAGGGCGGGCCCGACGCTGAGTGGAGTGCGAACGCAGAAGGCGGCGTGCCTCTCGCCGCGCTGGCGCTCTTCAACGGCAATCAGCTCTTCGTGCTGTATCCCACCTTCCCGCCTTCGCGTCCGCCCTTCGAGCTGAGCACGCGGCGAGGGCCCGCTGTGCTGCGCCCGGGTGTGGCAGACAACCTGCCGCGGGTGCGCGGCGAGGCGGTCATGTCTGGGCCGTATCCGGCGAAGTCGACCGAGGCGCTCGACAGCGTCTCCGTCTTGACAAAGACGATTTACCGCTGCGCGAGCCAGGTCGTCTTCTACCTCAGCTCCAGCAACTGGCCCGTCGTCTACGCGCGGATACGGAACCGCCTCGCGTACCTCAGCACGACGATCGAGGACACGCCCAACACTGCCGAGCTGCGCCTGCTTGAGTGCAGCAACCTGCACCGCACCCGCCTCGGCAGCGTCGTGCAGGAGCTCTGCACGTCCTTCCTGCACCTCAAGCGCAGCGCACAGATGACGGTCGCGCTCGTGCTGCGGCGCACGATCTGGGCGTGGATCCAGTACCACCCCGCCGAGTTTGCCTTCCTCTTCAGCGTCGGGCGGCGACTCGAGGGCGGCCCAGACGTGCTCTTTGACCACGCCGTGAACCTCGCCGAGTCGACGCGCAAGAAGCTGGCCTTCTGGCCGATGCTGACGTCGCTGCTCATCCTCTGCCCTGACCTGATGTCCAAGGCGGCCGTCGGCGAGGGCCGCAAGGGCGGCAGTCTGGCAAAGAAGATCAACTTCCTCGAGACGCTGCGCAAGGGCCTGCGCACAAGCAAGCTCAGCGACATGGCGGCGCTGTGCTGCGTGGACATCTGCCGCGCCGCCTCGTGCACGCCGCGCGGCGAGACTGGCCTCCGTCTGCTCGTGTCGGACCTCGAGGCGGACATCAAGGAGAAGCTGTTCGACGCATCACGACCCGCCCTGTCGACGACTAGGACCGTCGAGATCTCGCTCATGGTCGAGGCCTTCATCGCCTTCTACCGCCTCGACCCGCACAAGACGATCCGCGACCTCGTGCCCGTGTGCATGTCGCCAACCAGTCCGCTGGCGTTCAAGGTGGCGCTGGTGCGCGCCTGCGTGCAGATGGCGAGCGAGCGCGGCCGGCTGCCGTGGAGCCCCGACGTGGCGCTCATCTACCCGCACATCTGCGCACAGCTGCGGACGACGGCCAAGGAGACCATCTACCGCTGCTACCACCCCGAACCCAGCGCGCCTGCGGGCAACGGCGCACCGGCCACTTTGGGCACCCCCAGCAAGGGCGACAAGCGCGGCTTCACGCGCAACATCGGCGGCGCCTCGAAGACGCAAAGCTTCGCAGTTGCGGCGCATGGCGACGACGCCGTCTGGCGCATCGAGCTGCTGCAGGTCACGATGCAGCTGTGGCTCATGGACGTGCACGCCGCGTCTCACGGCATCGATCTTGAGCAGACCACGACGCTCGCCGAGCTCGTCGGTGCGCCGTCCGTGCGCGATCGCGACGCCATCATGAAGGCCTGTCTCGCCGTCGACAGCGTGCTGGCGCTGGTGTACTACCTGGGCTGCGCCGCGCACACGACCGACTATCTGCATCTGCACGAGCGTGCCCTCGACCTCCTGGACGCCATCTCTTACGATGAGGGCAACCCGGAGTTCACGCTCCATTCGCAGTACGCTCTCGTCTCTACTGGCTCGCAGCTCACTGCGGCCGTCGGCGAGCAGCTTGCACAGGCCGATTCCAAGCAGTCGCAGCACCACTGGCTGACTGTCCTCGTCCGCACGCTGCGCCGGAAGGAGCGCTTCTTCGTTGGCCTCGCATCGTCGCCATTTGCCATTCCAGGCAGCGTGCTGCCTCGCAACCTGCAGGACCGGCCAAGTGTCCGCGGTGACGTGCCAGAGCTGACGATGAGGCATCTCGCCGGCATGCCGACGATGGAGGAGGGCCTGGCCGAGTCGGACACCGTCGAGGCTGCGCTGATGCTGAGCATATGCTCCTCGGACACAGACGTGTGCTCCGCAGCGCTGCGTTGCTGCGGACAGATGGCGGTGCTGCACCGCTTGGCCGGCGCCATGTTCTTCTACAAGAAGGACTGGACGCAGATGCTCTCGGACCTGGCAGACCCGGCCTACTCGCAGACCGGCGGCCGCATCGCGCAGCAGAAGCGCATCCGCGCTCTTCTGCGCGCGACTGGCGCTGCAACGAAGGCAAGCGCGCAGGCGTGGTGCGAGGCGTACGAGCGCTGGGGCGCTCTTACGCAGCTTGTCGCTCGGCCACTCGCAGACGAGACGAGCGACGCGGCGCAGGAGAAGGCGGCACAGTGGCACAACTACGCAGGCTTCCTGGCCGCGCTCGGCGGCACCTGCACGACGTCCGACGATCTCGACGGCGCCATGTCGCCCACATCAGCAACCGGCTCGGTGGAGCCGCCGCGGCATCTCGTCGAGTCGTTCATGCAGGAGATGGTCGACCTGCTCGTGTCCGACTCAGTGTGGGTGCGCGAGAAGGTCAAGGAGACGCTCGGCCTGGACCTCAGCGCGCGCCTCAACGGCATCCTCTTCCGCCAGGTGCACGCCGTGCTGAGCGACTTCTTCGACAAGAGCACCGGCCTGCCGCGGCCGGCCGACATGTTTACCATCTTCGTCGAGCAGTCGATCAGCGTCGTGCAGATGGTGCTGAACCGCATGACAGAGGGCAGCGAGGCGACGACCGCCGTCGACATCGGCTCGCTGATGGTGCTCTATGTCGAATATGTCAACTCGCTCGGCCGCCGCGAGCAGGCGCTGCGCATCAAGACGTCGATGTGCCACCTGTGCGAGGCGCTCATGGCCAAGAAGCACTTTTTCGCCTTCACCAACGAGCTGCGCGTGCGCAATCGCCTGTTCCAGGCCCTCGTCACCTGGACGACAGACTCGGTGCGTGCCGCGCCCGCCACTTGCCGCAGTTCAGATCGCTGACCGCTTTTCACTCCCAGTCTGACGACGCCCAGGGCGCTGACAAGCTGGATCGCCTGCAGCGCGACCTCGACGTCATCTGCCTGAAGACGATCTCGACGCTGCTCGACAGGCTGCCGTTGCTGCTTGCTGACGACGCGCTTCTGCTTGACGACAAGGTCGAGTGGGCCAAGTCGCGCCAGTTCAGCCTCTACTTCAACTACTTCATCAAGGTGCTGAACCGCACGCGGGCCATCGAGGATGCCGCTGGCGACCGCGTCAAGGCCTCGGCCGTGCTCGAGCCGCAGCTCAAGGCTGTCACGTCGAATCTTACCTCCGCCACGGCGTCCTCCAGCTCGACGCTGCCGATCGCCACCAGCTCGAAGCACTCGCGCGAGCAGCTGCAGCAGACTGTGCGCGAGCTCGCGCCGCTCAAGGACTCCGCCATCCTGGCGCTGTCGAATCTGCTGGCATCGAACATCGACAGCGGCCTGCAGCACTCGCTGCCGCTTGCCTACCAGCCCGATGACCAGCTGCGCGCGGCCTTCATGCAAATCATGACGAACGTGCTCAACCAGGGCACGGCCTTTGACGACCTCGAGCGCCTTTCGGCGGCGCAGAAGCAGAGCAAGCTCGTTGAGCTGGTCTGCCAGAACGACCTGCACCTGGCACTCTCGATCTGCAACGTCTGCCGTGGCTACGACAGCGACCAGCTGGACTACGTGCTGCTCAGCATCTTCGACTCGCGAGGCGGCATCATCCGCTTCCTCAAGGCCGCGCTGGGCGAGGAGATCGACCGCACCGCAACTGAGGAGATGGTCTTCCGCTCGAACTCATTCCGCACGCACTTGCTCTCCGTCTTCGGGCGCACGCACGGCTACGAGTACCTGCGCTCGATCATGGCGCCGCTGATCACCGAGATGGCCAACAAGCCGCGCGGCTACTCGTTTGAGATCGACCCGTCCCGCCTGGAGCCGGGCGAGAGTGCGCTCGTGAATCAGCACCGCCTCGAGGAGATGGCGCAGGCGTTCATCGACCAGATCTGCTCCTCTGCGCACCGCGTGCCGGCCGTGCTGCGCGAGCTGTGCCGCCACATCCGCACGCTGATGGACGATCGCTTCCCGAACTCGCGCTACCAGGGCGTTGGCGGCTTCATGTTCCTGCGCTTCATCAGCCCGGCCGTCGTCGCGCCGCAGATCATCGACATCAACCTGACCGGCCCGGGCAAGGAGCTGCGGCGCGGCCTGCTGCTCATCTCGAAGATCCTGCAGACGCTGGCGAGCAACAACTTCTTCCCCGCGCACAAGGAGCCCTTCATGACGAGCCTCAACGACTTCCTGAAGCGCAATGTGTGGCGCGTCACGACGTTCCTCGACCAGGTCTCCGACGCGCGCACCGACCCCGAGCGGCTGCTGGCCGCCGACCAGCCGCTGGGCTACGGCATCCACCCCTACGGCTACGGCATCGACAAGGCAGACCAGCGCATGCTGCATCGCTTCTTGTTCCAGAACGTGGACAAGATTGGCCAGGACATCGGCCTGCGCTCCATGGCCCTGGCCTCGGCGGCATCCTCCGCAGGTGTGGGCTCGCCAGTGTCGCCCTCGGTGTCGCTGGCTGGTCTCGCTGGCAGCGCGTCGGACGGCGGCGTGTCCGCGACGCCGACGTCGAGCTCGGACCCGAAGCGCGTGTACGACCAGCTCTGCCACACGCTGGCCGACCTCGGCGAGTGCGAGGACAACGAGCCGACGCTCTCGTTCAGCAACCAGGCCGCCGGCGACGGCAAGCAGGCATTCCAGGACTTCCTGCGGCGCAACACCGGCCGCAATGTCGACGAGAAGGCCTACCGCAGCGTCTTCCGCGAGGGCCCGCCGTCCAAGGCCGGGCGCACCGTGTTCTACTACAACATCACGAAGCAGAACGCCAAGACGATGGACTACGAGGGCCTCATCATCTACGTGCTGCAGTGCCTCGAGTCGTGCCTCTCGCGCCCCTTCGACCTCGTCATCGACTGCACGGGCGTGCACCCCAGCAACCTGACGCCGCCGCAGTGGATGTCGTACTTCGGCAGCCTCGTGCCCGGCGAGGTCGTCGCGAATCTGCGCAACATCATCGTCTTCAACATGAACACGGCGGCGCGTCTCTACCTGCGCCCGTGGCAGGGCCCGCTCGATCCCAACGGGACGAATGGCGGTGCACCGGCGGGCAGCCCGCGCAACGCGCTCGCGGACGTGCCGGCGCACATCAGCATCGCCTGCGTCAGCTCCATCTCCGAGATGGAGGCGTTCGTCGAGCGCCGCAACATCGCGCTGGACCCGCAGACCGTCACGATCGCGACGAGCGTGTCGGACGCGCGCTTCAACCAGGTGACGATGGTCTGGTACTACCGCTCGCTGGTGCCCGTGACGTTCCGCATCGGCGCCGAGCACCTGCAGATCACCGCGCTCAAGCAGCAGGAGATCGGCCTGGGCAACCGCACGGCCTTCACCAACGACGTCTTCCACCTGGCCGACATCGACGACGTGCGCGCCGTGTCGATCCGGGGCGACGACAACACGTTCTTCGTGACGTGCCGCGGCGGCAGCATCTCCTTCCTGTTCAACTCGCGCGACCGCGCCGACATCGTCCAGGGCCTGCGGCAGGCCAAGGCGCGCGTCTCGCGCTTCCGGCCCACAAATGCCATCGACCGCACGCTGCTGCCGTCCGACGTGCCCGGCACGCTGCTCAACATGGCGCTGCTCAACTCAACGTCGAGCACGCACAGCCTGCGTGCCAGTGCCTACAACTTGCTCTGCGCGCTGTCTCGCTCGTTCAACTTTGGCGCGTCGAACGCCGGCAAGCGGCTGCTGAGCACAAAGGGTGAGTACGCAAGGAGCGTCCAGTGCGCCACCGGCAAGCTGACTCATGCCGTGCCCAGGCCTGGCCGTGCCCGCGAACACCATGGCGTTCATCTCCGAGCTCAGCCGCGAATTTGCCGTGGCGGCGCCGGGCGTGACGCTCGAGTTCCTGCTCTCCTTCTTCGAGGGCTTCGAGCGCGCGACGATGAGCCAGAAGACGATGTGCCTGCAGTACATGGCGCCATGGCTGTCGAACCTGGTCATGTTCACGCACACGTCGCGCGAGCAGCAGGTCGAGTACCAGAAGCGCATCAAGGAGATCATTGCGCACCTCATCGCCATCACCGTCAAGCAGCCCGAGATGTACGCGGCGATGCAGCGCGGCGTCTGGTCGCAGATCAGCCGCCTCGACGACCTGATCCCGACGTTCGTCGAGGTGTTCTGCGAGGCCGCCATGGACTCGGGCCTGCACACGCCGCGCTTCGAGATGGTGCTCGACACGATGGTCTCGTTCTCGTCGATCAACCTGCGCGGCAAGCTGCTCGCGCGTCTCCGCCGCGTCATTGCCAAGACGGCGCAGACGCCGGCCGTCGGCCAGCTGCACGAGAACGCGGCATGGAAGGAGATTGCCACGCTCGTGCGCATGAACATGGTCCTCTCGTTTACGAGCCGTCTCGAGGGCCTCATCTTCCTCCCGGAGCTGCTGCACATCATCCTCCTCCTCGCCGGCAACGGCGCCGATGCCACGCGTCACTCGATCCACGGCACGGCTGTGAACCTCATCCATTCGCTCTGCACCGACCAGTCGCGCGACAGCAAGCCGGCGACGTCCACCTCCTTGGCCGCGCCTGGCCGTGTCTCGCCGCCGGCCTCTGGCGCGCCCGACGGCCTGGAGCGCCTGCGCGTCCTGCTTGCCCGCTTTTCGGAGGATGAGTTCCTGCTGCTCTTCGGGCTCCCTGCAGGTGTCGCCAATCCCTTCGATGCCTCGCCCGACATCGTCCGGGACACGCCAAACAACGCCGCCATCGAGAAGCTCGCGACAATTCTGTACGACCTGCCCGAGCTCGCCGCGCCGTCGACCGACGCGGCGAACAGCTGGCGCGCGCGCCTGACGAGCCTCGTCACGAGCACGGCCTTCCAGTACAACCCGATCATCCAGTCGCGCGCCTTCCTGCTGCTCGGCTGTCTGGCAGACCTGACGCGCACGATGATGAGCGGCGCGGCGGAGCTCAGGGAGCAGGACGAGGCGCCGAGCGACAACGACGTGCAGCCGGCATTCGAGGTGGACGATGACCTGCTGTACCAGATCCTCGTCTCGCTGCGCGGCAGCATCACCGAGTGGGCCAATGCCGGCAACGACGCGCCGATCATCAGCATCGTGACGTGCCTGTCCAAGGTCGTCAAGATCCTGCCCGACCGCTCGCGCTACCTGCCGCAGCTCTTCTGGCTCGGCATCTCGATGGTGCAGTACGGCCACGTGCCGCTCTTCCGCGCCGGTGCCGAGCTGCTGCTGGCGACGGTGACGAGCATCACGGACCGCAAGCTGCCCGCCGAGGCGCAGACCGACCTGGTCACGTTCCTGCTCGACGGCCGGCTCGAATTCCGCGAGGCTGCGTGCCGCCTCGACGACGAGGCCGGCGTCGACTTCGACACGAACTTTTCGTTTGCAATGGCTGCGCTACTGGCCAAGGGCCTGCGGCATCCCTCGACGAAGGAGACGACTGCCGAGCTCCTGCAGTCGATGCTGCGCTTCAGCGCCATGGACGCACACGGCAAGGCTCTCTCGTCGGACGGCCGCATCGCCACGACGCAGCTTGGCTTCTTCGTGGCCCTGCTGCCGACGGCGACCAGCCCAGAGGGCTTCGGCCAGCTGCTGCGCCTCGCCGGCGTCGCCGAGGAGACGTGCGAGGCCGCCACGCAGGCCCGCCGCGACGGCGGCGACGGTGGCGGGCTGTTCAAGCACCTCGACGCGCTGGACAACAAGATCGCACTGCTCGTCGTCACGCTCATTGCGGCGCTGCTGCAGCACGCCGAAAGCGACGCCGAGCGCCTGCTGCTGTACGGCTTCCTCGCCGACTCTGCGAAGGACGTTCCAGCGATCGTCTCGATTCTGTGAGTCTGCGTACGAGACGCCGTGTCTGCTGCTTGGCTGACACACGAGCTCGACAGGTACGACTCGCTGGCACCCGGCATGCGCGAGGTGCTCGTCAACTCGCAGGTCGGGCCGATTCTTGATGCGGTGCACATCGTGGCGCAGATTGCTGTCTCGGAGCCGGTCTTCGCGGCACAAGCACTCGAGACGCAGCGACGCGGGTGAGCATGCGTGTGCACGGCTGCCTGTCGCTTCGACGCTCCGCTCACCACCACACCTTTCCCCCAGTGGACCGCTGGCGTATCTCAACGAGTCGTGAGTGTGCCCGGAACTCCATCGGGCGCGCGTCATGCTGACCACGTCATTCGGACAGCGGCTATGCATGCCTGCTCGACTGTGGCGACTTTACCACGCTCAAGGACCTGCGGCGGCTCAGTCTTGCCAAGCTCTCGACGGCGCTGCTGGCCGGCCTCATCGATGCAGGCACGGCGTAGCGTGGCCTGCGCGTCCCTCTTTCTCCAGGAGTCCCACCTCTTCAACCCAACTACATTCCCCCTGACGCGATTCCCCGGCTTACCCACTTGACCTCATCGCTGTTCCGACTCATGACGCCTCTAAACTCATGCTCTGTTCGTCCGCACCTCTTGAGCGCGCACACGAAGCGGCACCGGCACGCACGGAGCTCATGATGACAGTGACGATTAGACGTGCCGAGGCGCATGCTGTCGCACCTCGCCCACGCCGGCCCCTGCCCTTTTGCGCGTCCCAGCCGTAGCCTCTAGCGACGCTCTCCCATCCCCCCTCCGACCTGCTGCTCCAGTCGTCTAGACAGCCGCGACGGCCGCCGGCTCGCCGCCTGCCCGCGCTTCTGTGATGGTGGCGAGGATGCGGTCGATGGAGCTCTGCCACTGGACGAGCCGTTGCTCGAGCAGCTGCCACTGCTCGGCGCCGAATGTCCGGTACGTTGACCGGTAGACGCGGAACGAGCTGTTGACCTGCGAGAGCTTGCCGGACACGAGGCCGGCGCGGATCACTGGCCACGACAGCGTCAGCGTGGTACGGGAGGGCACGCACTTGCCGCTGCTGCTCACCGTCAATGACCCAGGCCTCCACCTCCGACTCGGGCACGCGCAGCACCGACGCGATCTCGGCGTACGGCACCTCGGTGCTGACACTCCGGCTGCACAGGCTGGCGAGGTCGAGCAGGCGCATCTTGCGGTCAAGCTGCGCGGGGTCCAGAGCTGGCAACGGCGGGACTGAGTAGCTGGCGAGGGGGCGTCCAATCTCCAAACTCACAGAGCCGCGAGACCTCTCCCCCGTTGGCGCCCTCCCACTTCTTGTACTCCTCCGCGCTTCCGCCCACGAAGATGGTGAGCAGCTCGAAGATCGGCTTGCCCTTCAGCGCCTGCACAGCCTGGATCTGCAGCAGCTGCTCGAACTCCCACACCTTGGGCAGCTTCAGGGCCGAGGCGATGACCTGCTCGGCCGTCTGCGCCGCCTCGGGCGACGAGCTGTCGAGGAAGCGCAGGTGGATGAGGAGGAACTCGTAGGCACGCTCGTGGTTGTCCGCCGCCGCGAGCTTGCTCGCCACGCTGGACAGCAGCGCCGACTTGCGCTCGCTCGGCACGTCCCACGACGAGAGCCAGGCGGGAATGGCGGAGAAGGCGTCGGACAGGTACTCGAGCTCGTCGTGCGCGGCAGCGACGTCGAGCAGCGACTCGAAGACGGTGAGGCGGGCGGAGGACGAGGCGGGTAGGGCGTTGAAGATGTTCGAGAGGCTGATGGGTCCGTGCATCAGCACCTGGCGCTCCATGCTCGGCGCGACCTCCGTGCTGGACAGAGACAGATGTCTCCACTGAGGCATACTCTCACGAGGCTGGCGAACTCACATGCGGTACTTGGCGCCGGCGCGGTCAAAGCCCGAGCCCGACTGCTCCTTGCTGACCGCTGCGGACAGCTTGGCCAGCACCTCTGCCCGCTTCTCCTCGTCCTTCTCCCATGCGTACAGAATCAGGGCGGTGAGGAGGTTGAATGCGCCCTCCAGCTCTGCAGGCCGGCGCAGCACTGCGTGAGCCAGCAGGCGGCGCGCTGGGCCAGCTGAGGGCACTCACCGCGCTCCGAGCCCTCGCCAACACCCTTCACCTCATCCACAACACGGCTGAGCACAGCGGCGCACTTGCTCTCGTCCTCGTCGGCCTCCTGTGCGGATGCCTGGAAGGACTCGACGAACGCAGCGCGCTCGCCCTCGGGCAGCGAGCGCGAGAGGAAGCCGGCAAACTCAAGAACCTGTGAGACGCAGCCAGCGAGGCGTCAGCACGCGCGGCGCGGCACGGCGGCGGCGCAGCAATGCGCACCTGCTCGGAGAAGGTGCCCTCCGAGAGGACGGCGACAAGATCGGTCGACATGGTGGGTGCGTGGTAGCGGGAGCGAGACGGCTGTCGCTGCTGCTGTCTTGTCCGAGAGCGCGCCTGAGCGGCTGCAGGCCCCGTCGCGGCGCCAGCTTCCTTCTAGCCCACGCGTCACGTGCCATGCTCCCCTGGCGCACTTCAGAAATCGGCTCGGCGCTTCTGTAGTCGCGCGACCGACGGCGAGGAAGTGCGGCCAGGTGGAGTAGGCGGAGCTGGCTGCGCCTCAAGGCTGTCTCCCACCATCAACCGGCCGCGACATCGCCCATACCCCACACCTGAGCTGCTGAGCGTGCGAGCCGCGAGACACTAGCCCAGCATGACGACGGGTGAGCTGGCAGAGGCTGCCGCATGCCTGCCGCGCCCTGCTGACCGCCGCGCTGCCCTCGCCCGCAGTCCAGAAGATCAAGGAGGTGCGTGCTCGCGGACACGACGCTGCGAACGAACAGCGCGGGCGCCTGCCCGAGCCACCCGGTGCTGACTGGTGCCGGCTCGCAGATCGAGGATGAGATGGCCAAGACGCAGAAGAACAAGGCCACGTCCTACCACTTGGGTGCGTCGCTTGCCTCCACTTGCCATGTCGCACCAGCGACCCTTTGCTCATCTGCTCATTCCCGCTCTCTCGCGCGTCTCTTCCTCGGCGATGTGCAGGCCAGCTCCGCGCCAAGCTTGCGAAGCTGAAGCGCGAGCTCATCATGCCCTCGGGCGGTGGTGGAGGTGCAGGCATTGGCTTCGACGTGGCCCGCACGGGTATCGCCAGTGTGGGCTTCGTGGGGTTCCCGAGTGTGGGCAAGAGTACGCTGTGAGTCGCCTGATAGAGCGGTGGACGGCAAGCTGGAGAATTGCCCTGTCTCCTTTGCCTGCGGCTCTGTTCTAGGCTCTCGAGCAGCGTGCTTACCGCGGCCCACAGCATGTCCGGCCTGACCGGCACGACATCGGAGGCCGCCGCGTACGAGTTCACGACGCTCACCACGGTGCCGGGCACAATGACGGTGCACGGCGCCAAGCTGCAGATTCTCGATCTGCCCGGTATCATTGAGGGCGCCAAGGACGGCAAGGGTCGTGGTCGGCAGGTAATTGCTGTCGCGCGGACATGCAACTTGATCTTCATCGTGCTGGACGTGTGCAAGCCGCTGGTGAGTCCTGGCTCGTGGGCCTGACTGGCAGCGCGTTGCGAGATCGCGCTGGGAGTAGACTGTGCTGCGCATGCTGCTTTGAAGGAGAGCTGCTCGCTGACAGATCACCCATCTGCAGAAAGACAAGTCGATTCTGGAGAATGAGCTGGAGGGCTTCGGCATCCGGTTGAACAAGCGGCCGCCGAACATCGTCGTGCGCAAGAAGGACAAGGGCGGCATCACCATCACAAACGTGAGCCACGCGCGCTCTACTGCCCCGCTGGGAACCTCTGGCTGATGCGTGCTGCACCAGACTGTCCCCTTGACGCACTGCGACCACGACGTCGTCCGCGCCGTGCTCTCCGAGTACAAGATGAGCAACGCCGACGTGGCCTTCCGCCAGGACGCTACTGTCGAGGACCTCATTGAGTGCGTCGAGGCGGCACACTAGCGCGTGTGCACAGCGCTGATCATCGGCTCACAGCGTGCTGGAGGGCAACCGCATCTACATTGTGAGTTGACAGCAGCAGGCAAGTGGACACCGAGCGTCGCTGACATCTACGCACCAGCCTTGCATCTACGTGCTCAACAAGATTGACTCGATCACGATCGAGGAGCTCGACCTGCTGTACCGCATTCCCAACTCGGTGCCCATCTCGAGCAAGATGTGGCTCAACATCGACGAGCTGACGGAGCGGATGTGGACGGAGCTGCGCCTTGTCCGGTGGGTGGCACGCAGCGCGAGACTGCGTGCAGCACGCTGACGGCGCACGGCAGCGTCTACACAAAACCCTCGAAGCAGCCGCCAGACTACTCGCAGCCAGTCGTGCTGCGTGAGGGCAAGTGCACGGTCGAGGACTTTGCCAACTCGATCCACAAGGAGTGCGTGCGGTTCCACTGACCCGCTCAAGATCGATGCTGACGCCGTCTCCTGCTCCGCAGTATCGTGTCGCAGTTCCGCATTGCCATGGTCTACGGCGCCAGTGCCAAGCACCCGCGAGGGCAGCGTGTGGGCCTCGACCACGTGCTGCAGGACGAGGGTGAGCCGGCACCAGCATGCTTGACTGAGCTGCGCGCTGACAATCCGGCGCTCCTCCAGACGTTGTCACCCTCTACAAGCGGTGAAGGCGCCCTCTGCCATACTTTCGTCGCCGGTCGAATAATGACAATTTCACGCAAACAGCGCGCGAGGCGGGCCCGAGACGTCTAGGTACATGGTTTACTTGCTGAGGAGGGTAGAGGGATGAAGGACAGCGGGCGCAGGGACAGAGTGGTTCGACGGCGCATGAGGGAGCTCAGGTGAGGCAATTGCAAGGGAAAAGAGGACCGATTGCGTGGATGAGTAGAGGGGCAGATTAGAGAGAGCGACGAGGCGAGGCAGCAGTGAGCGAGGACGCCCTAGATGACGAGATGGCCGTCGACGCCGTCGTTGTCGATGTCGTCGGTGAAGGCAAGCGTCACGGGCGAGACGATGCCGCCAAAGAGGGGCGAGTAGACGGGCACGCCGTGCGCCGACGGCACACTGTGCGCCTCGGACATGGCCGACATGGGCGGCGTGAGGCCGCTGAGCGTGCTGGGCGGCAGTGGATGCTGCAGCTGCTGCTGCTCCTGCATGCGCTCGCCGTGGCCGTTCGTGCCGCCATTGGCCGGCCCGTTGCCGTCGCCGTGAGCGCCGAGCGGGCCAGCTCGCAGCGGCGCCCGCGTAGGCGCCGGCGAGCCGCGCGGCGAGGCGTCGGTGATGCGCAGGCGTGGCAAAGCCGAGGCCGGCGACTCAAACTCGGCGCCGCCATCGCCAAGGTTCGGCGTCGAGGGGCCAGGCGACGGCGCATACTGGCTGCCGCCTTCACCCGGCTCGACGGATGAGGCGGCCGTCTCGGCGGCGCGCAGTGCCGCGCGGCGAGCCTTGCGTTCGCGCTTCTCGCGGCGCGTCATCTTGCCCTTTGGCGTGCTCGAGAGGTCGAACTGCGGAATGTCGGCGAGCGACGGGGCGCCGCCATCGCTGCCGTGCTCGCCGTTGCGCACTGGCCACAGGATGGGCGAGACGAAGAAGGCCGCACGTCGGCGTGCCAGCGCCGCATCTGCGTCCTCGCCGGCGTCGGCACCTGCTCCGGTCGGCGACGCATCCTGGATCACGCGCGGTGCGGCGCCCATGTGGATGCCCATCGCCTCGCTGCGTCCGCGGAAGGGGGAGTGGTTGTCGCTGCGGCGCGAGCCCGAGCCGTTGCGCTGGACCGAGTTGCGCTGTGATCGCGTGAGCAGAAAGGTGCCGAGCGCCTGGCGGCCGCCGTTGAGCGACGAGCCCTGGCCGTCGCGGAAGGCGCCCATCGGGATGCGGTCCCAGCGCTGAAAGGCGTTGAGATTCAGGCCCACTGCCGTGGCCGCGCTCGTGCTCGACGAAATTGACGGCGCAGTGCTGGAGCTGCGACTCGAGGCTCGCGGCCGCAAGTCGCCGCTCTTGACCGACGCCTGCGTCGCCGTGCCAGCCACGCTGCCCTCCTCGTCCAGCTCCTCGTCCGTCTCGTCCTCGTCCTCGGCACCACTGCCCTCTTCCGAGTACTCTTCGCGCCACAGCATCGACGCATCCACCACATCGTCGAGCTCCATCGGGTCGATGCGCTTCGGCACGGGCGATGTCGCCGGCTCGCTCGCGCCTTCTCCGCCATGCAGGGCAGACGAGTAGCGTCGCGGACGCTTCGACGACAGCGTCGAGGTCGACTCGCGCCGCGATGAGTGTCGCCGCTTGCCTGCACGGATGCCGGAGGCAGACGCGAGGCCGCGCTTCTGCATGCCATGTCGGTTCGCGAACGGCGACGGCGCCTGCTTGTTGCCGTCGATGACTGCTCGATGCACGCCGCGTGCCGATGTGGGCATGAAAGAGCCCATCTCTGGCTTCGGCGGTGCGCGCAGAGGCGTGGCGGGCACGCCGTTGGTCGACGGCCCTGCCAGCGTCATCTCGCGGTCCGAGGCCGCAGCCTCGACCTCCGAGAGCAGCTTGGTGGCCTCCTCGACAGACAGGCCGAGAGAGCGTGCAGCCGCCTCGATGGTGCCGTCAGCCTCGCGCATGCCGCCGGAGTTCGAGACGCCAAAGTCCGAGTCAAAGGGGTTGCCACTGCCGGAGGGCACGCCGCCAGACAGGCTGTTGAGCGGCGTCGTGTCCGAGAGCTGAGAGAGGTGCGACTGGTCGCTGTGCGTGCGTCGGTGTCCGCCGCCCTGTGTCGGAGCCAGGCGTGATGACGATGCAGCGCGACGGCGGTCGTCGGGCGAGAGACGGCGGGACTTGGCCGCTGCCATGGCGCGAGCTCGACGCGTGTTGCGGCCGCCGCGCGGAGCGACGGAGCCGACGAGAAGGCGAGGAAAGGGCATGTCCTCATCGCCCAGCTCGTCGGTCGTCTCGCCCTCGTCGTCGACTGCGCTGCCGCCCAGTGCGGCGCCGTCGCTGCGCCAGTGGCCCCACGGCCCCTCCTGTGCGCGCATCATCTCCAGCATCTCGTCCTCGCTCGAGTCCGACTCGCTGTCGTCGAGAAACTCGAATTCGCCGTCGGAGCCAAACACGGCCTCGCCGTCGCCGGCGCGCGCGTAGATGAGGCGTCCGTCCAAATCCTCGATGACGAGGAGTGGAATCTCGGCAGGCACTGCCGCGGCATTCGCATCGTCCGTTGTCGCAGTGCCACCAGCAGCGGAGGCAGCAGCCAGCGCCTCGGCGCCGCCGATCTGCGCCAGAAAAGGCACGCCGACGAGGGCACCCTCAATGTCCGAGATCTCGTCGCTGTCCGTGCCGTCGCTCGTCAGCTCGCCGTCGTCGTCGTGGGCCGAGAGCGATTCGCCGTCCGAGTCCGAGTCAGAGGCAAAGAAGTCGGTGAATGACGGCTCAGACGAGGAGCCAAATGCATCCTGCGGCTCAAAGAGCTCGTCCTCAAAGTCGTCGATGCCGAGCTGGCGCATGGTCTCCGGCGAGAGAGAGCGCCCGACCCTCTCGCCAGTCTTGTCGCCCGCGGTCGCCGCTTCGCCGTCTTCGCCGTCTTCGTTGTCGGGCGCCTCCGTGCCAGTGGTGACATCGCCGGCCGAGGCGCGGCGGGCAGTGGTGCGTCCGCGCTGCTCGCTGCCGCTGCCGCGTGCCGAGTCGCCGAAGCCTCCGTTGCCACGGCCCTTGGAGACGGCGCCGTTGTTGAGGATCTTGGCGTGCGACTGACGGCGGGCTTCCTTGCGCGCTGCCTGCTGGATGAGGTAGCGCTCCTCCTCGGCTGTGTCGCCACCCTCGTCCTCGGAGTCGGCGGAGCCGAGGAGCGACTCGCCGTCGCCGGCGGCATTGAGCTTCGCCTCGAGCTCGGCGTCGGACTCGGACTCGGACTGCACGCCGGTACTGCCCGACGGGCCGGCCGCGGCACTGGCTTCGGCCTCGCTCTCGCTCGGTGCGTCGGAGAGCTCCGTGTCGTCCGAGTCGTCGCCGCCCATGTCGTACTTCTGCTTGCGCACGGCGGCCTTGCGCTCGGGCTTGTAGCGCTGCTCGCTCTTGCGCCGGCCGGCCGCGCTGGCCGACGTCTCGGCCTTGGACGAGGCGCCGGGAGAGTTCTTCATGACGCGGCTGCGGCTCGAGGTGGTCTTGAGGCGAGGCACGCCGAGCTTGACGCCGCGATAACGACGGTGGGAGGGAGCCGAGGCGCCGAAGGGACTGTAGTCGGAGGTGTTGCCCGAGTGCGCGTCGGAAAGGTCGTCTTCGTCCGAGAGGTCGGACGAGAGGTTGAAGTGAAGAGTGGAGTGTGCGGCGCCCGACCGCTGGCGGCTGCTGCTGCTGCCAGCGACGGCGGCGACCTTGCTGGATGGGGGAGTGGCAGAGGCTCGCGGCGTCGAGCTTCTGCTAAGGTGATGGGGAGCGATGGACCAACCGGAGCGGGCTGCAGGGGTGATCGCATGAGCTGCTGTGCAACGCAGGGTGGCCCGAGGCGACAGCACGGCCGAGCGGCAGGCCGCGCAGGCCGAGGCGCCTCTCTGCGTGCGTGCCTGTACACGCCGCGCCAACTCACCGTGTTCGTGTGAGGAGTGTCTGGACATGAGACGGTCGGTGCGGCAAGCAGCGGGCTATGCAAGGGGGGCAGCGCCAGACTCAGTCCCGCAGCTCGTCCTTGATGGAGCGGTGCAGCGAGACGGGGTGGAAATGGCGACGGGGGTCGCAGGCGGCGGCGGCGGGCGAGGGCGCCCGGCCGGCGGCGAGCAGCGGGCGGCGAGGGCCGCCGCTGGGATGGTGGTGGAAGGCGCCGCGCGTGTGCGACGAGTTGGGCAGCAGAGGAAGAGCGCGGGCGGCGTGAACGGGCATGGCCTGGCGGCAGCGGGCAAGCGTGGAAGCGCTGCGGCGGCTGCAAAGGCAGACGCTGCGACGAGAGCCGGAGGCAGGGAGCGCTGCACGCGAGCGGTGCGGCTGCTGCGAGCGGTGCGGCTGCTGCTGGCACTGGGTGCGAGGGGGCAGAGTGCGGTGGAGCGTGCGGATGCGCAGGCGGCGGAGCAGGCCGAGGCCGAGCGAGGAGCGGCGATAACACGCAGGCGGGCGGCGCCAAGGGGAGCGTGCAGAGGCGGCGCGCGGGCGTGCTAAAGGCTGCGCAGGGTGTGGGTGCGTGTGTGAGGAGTGCGAAGGTGCAGCGGTGCGACGGCGAGCAGCTCGACGCTGGGGCGATGGATGCGGTGCTGAGGTGACGACGGCGGCGGCGGCGGCGGCGGGAAGCTCCATGGCGCTCGGCTGGCGGCGAGAGCGGTGCGCGGCGCCGGGTGCGGCGTGGCAGCGCAGCAGCAGCAGCAGCGCCCCGCTGTGCGCGGCGAGAAGGCGGGCAGCCGAGCAGCAAAGGGCGCGCCGTGCGGCAGCAGAGCAGCGACGGCACGCCGGCCGCCTGCGCCGCGCTGCCCTCGCCGCGCCTTGCAGCAGCATCCTTCGAGCGGCGAAAAAAATGCGGCACGCCGCCTGTGTGCGAACGAAGCCGCTCCACGCTTAGCGGCCTGCAACTTTTCTTGCCGGCGCTCGCACGAGAGGAAGAGAGCGCACGGCAGCGCAGAAGCCGCGCATCTTGCATGCTCGCCTGCTCAGGGTGCATGCACGCGGCTCCAGCGGGATCGCAGGCCTGGCGCTGTGACGCAGCAAGAGTCATGCCTCAGGGGGCGTCGCGAGAGCGGCAGCGGCATGGACAAGGCGCTCGCGGCTGCACACGATGGAAAGCGCAGCTCGTGGTGGCAGCAGACAAGCAGCTGGTGCAGCATCGGCCTTTGCGCTCGCTGCACCCCGCACTGACGCCGACTGCTCAAGGCACCCGTGCGCCGGGCCGGCTCCTTGAGGTGCAAGCGAATGAGCGTGCCGCCCGAGGCGCCGCTTCCAGCCCCCAGATGCAGCCGCTCAGGCGGGAGGGAGGACGGCGCAGCGCTTGGCCGACGATCGCGGCGGCTCCGCGAGCACTTTGCGGGGTGAGTGGAGAGTCTGATGAGTGCGCTTTGTTCAGCCGCAGCCACAGGGGCCACCGCAGCGCATCAGGGGCACGGCAGCACGTGCGCGGGGCAGGGATTGAGCGGAGGGTGACATCAGGTACATTAGCGAGTCGTGAGGGGGCATCATAGGCCGGTAGGCGGGGCAACGGCGGGGAGCAGGGACAAGACGAGATGTGGTCGGACGAGGCAAAATGCGCAGCTCGTGCGACGCTGCGCGTGTCTCTCTCTCTCATCAGGCGACGGGCCCGCCCGAGAAGAGATACATGAGCTCGGAGCGGGAGAGCTTGTTGCTCTGCTTCGTCAGCTTGCTGCCCTCGAGCGCCGCCTTTGCCAGTGCGCTCTTCTTCTTCTGCAGCTCGAGGATGCGCTGCTCGACGCTCTGCGCAATGACGAGCTTGTAGATGCGCACGTCGCGCGTCTGGCCCAGGCGGTAGGCGCGGTCGAAGGCTTGCACTGAAGAGAGCGGGACGGCAAGGGCGTCAGGTGGATCAGGGCCGGCATGCGCGGCTGTGGCAAGAACTGACTCTCGAGCGCCGGGTTCCACCTGTGTCGAGAAGGGGGCCGTCAGCATCCTCAGTCCCCTTGGCGATGCAGGCCGCTACGCACCACAGGTCGCACAGCACCACGTGGTTGCAGCACGTCAAATTCAAGCCCGTGCTGCCGGCCTTGAACGAGATGAGAATGACCGACGTGGCGGGGTCGGAGCGCAGCGCCTCGAGGTTCGCCTCGCGCTGCTCGGGCTTCATCGAGCCGTCGTAGCGCACGTAGTTGTACGTGTTCCGCTTCAGGAACGGCTCGATGATGTCGAGGAAGGACGTGAACTTGCGTGGGACCATGGCATCAGCACTGTGGCGAGAGAGGGTGACGCCGGCAGCACGCTCACCTGGCTGAACACAATCGTCTTTTCGCCCTTGCGCTTCTCGTCGCGCTTGATCTTGTCGAGGATGGTGAGGAGCATGCGCACCTTTGTGCTGCCCTTGCCATCTGCGTCCCAGTCAATGCCGCGCTCCTTTTCGCGCTGCACCACAATCTCGCAGGCATCGCAGTGCGTGGCCGTGCGCGACTCGAGCACATCTTGGCATCGCCCGCACTTGCGCTCCACGGCCATGCCGGCCAACAGATCTGCCAGCTCGTCTGCGTCGTCGTCGTCGTCGCTGTCCTGCTCCTTTGACTGTGCGGGCGCCGGCGCGGGCAGCGCGTCTGGCGTGAGCTTGCTGGCGACGAGTCCCGGGTGGTTGCACGCTGCGATGGGGCCGCAGATGAGATGAGCCGCAGAGCGCTTGTCTCATCTAATCCCTGCGCAGCACCCACCTTGGCGCAGGCGCAGCAGCATGACGAGCTGCGCCATCTGGTTCACCTTGCCGCTGGCCTCGGCCTTCTCCACGTTGGCACGCATGCGGTCCTGCAGCGAGCCGTAGAAGAGGCGTTCCTCCTCCGTGTCGAAGCCAGACTCGACGACATCGATCGTGCGCTTGGGCAGCACAAGCAGCGGCTTGCCCTCGTGCTTCGACTCCTTGGTGCGCCGCAGCATAATCGTCTGCAGCACGACGCAGAGCCGCTTCATGCCCCAGTTGACTCGATTCTGGTTGCTGTGAGGTGGCGCGCGTCTCAGCGGTGCACCTTGGCCTTTGCACAAAGCCCGACTCACGTGCTCTTCAGCGGGTCGCCAATCTTCTCCTTGAAGTGCTTGAAGTCGTCAAATGGCGGGATGCGCAGGAAGTGGATGAGCGCGTACATCTCGTACGCGTTGTTCTGGATCGGCGTGCCCGTCAGGACCCATTTGGCGTGTGCGCGCGTCGAGAGGGCAAAGCAGGCAATGCTGCACTGCGCCTTGTGGTTCTTGATGTTCTGCGCCTCGTCTGGCGGAACACGTCAGCACAGCGGGGCCGGCCGCTGCCGCAAGCAGCGCTCACCGAGCACAACGCGTTTCCAGTCGAAGTCAAAGAGTGGACTGGGTTTGGGCTTGGCCGCTGCGCCGACCTTGCGAGCGACGGGCTTCTTGCGCGGCGTGCTCTTGCTCGGCGCGTCGTCGCTGTCCGACGCGCTCGACGAGCCGGAGCTGGTCTCGTCGTCGGACTCGTCCAGGCTCGGGCCCTTCTTTGCCGCCGGCTTCGCCGCTGTCTTGGTCTGCGGCTTCTCCTTGGCTTTGTACTCTGACGCCGCCGTCGTGTAGGTGGTGATCTGGGCGCAGGGCATAAGCCCACGAGTGAAGCCTCGCGCCACTCGCTCTGACTCACAACGACGTCATAGCGAGAGAAAGTGGCGGCAGCTGCGCGCAGCACTGGTCAGTCAGGCCTCGCGGCGCACACACCTGCGGTGCTCACTCTTGGCGCGAGCAGGTCCATGATGCACCATCACCTTGAGCTTCTCCGTCTTCTCCAGCGCCTCGCGCTCCCACTGGCGCACGACGGCGAGCGGCGCGACGATGAGTGTCGTGCGACTGCGCCGGCACGCCTCGGAGGTGCGTGCCTCGACCTTGATCTTGTCGGCCTTCTTCAGCGGCTTGAAGGGCCCGCTCTGCGGCGCACTTGACGAGCCAGGCTCAGCCGCTGCATCGGCGGCAGCGGCGGCACGTGCAGCGGTGCGGCTGGACACCATGAGGGCAAGCATTTGCACCGTCTGCCCGTGCTACGATCAGCATCGAGTTGCAGGGATGCTCTCGTGCCCGCGGCGTCACTCACCTTGCCCAGGCCCATGTCGTCGGCCAGGATGCCGCCGGCATACGCACCCTCCTCGCGCTTCTTCATCCACTCGTGTCCCTGCACCTGGTGCGGCATCAGGCGGCACTTCATGCCGGCCACGTCGGCCAGGTCCATGTCGATGTCCATGAGGTCCGTCGCCTGCGCAATCATGGCGTCGATGCTGGCCGCCAGCTGCTGCTCGCGCTCGGCGGCACTGACGAAGCGCCCGCCGCCGTGCTCGCCCGGGTCCGGCTCGTCATCGTCGTCGTCGGCGAGCGCCGCGAAGGCCGGCGGCCGCGGCGCAGCAGCGACGTGGCTCGTCGAGGCGTGTGCAGCGACGTTGAGCTGCTGAGTGCCGAGCGGCGCGCGCGGCGGCTCCCACATCTTGACCCTGGGCGCCGCGCTGGCCTTGTAGCCGCCGGGGCGCGGCAGCGCAGCGGAGCCAGAGCTGCCGCCGCCGGGCGCGGCCAGTGGAGCCGCGTGCCGCGGGGCCACGGGCGAGTCGCGCGTCAGGTCGACGACGTCGGCGAGACGGCGCGCCAGCTTGGCGGCGTTGGCGTCCTCCATGGGTGGGTGGAATGGGAGCGGTGATGGTGGGGCGAGGCCGGCTGCTGAGCTGCTCAATCAAGAGGCTGGCGGCGCGGCGGCAGCGCAACACCAAACACCTCGCTGCGCGCGCGCCGCGTGCCCGAGTCCCGCGCGTGCTGCCTCGAGGGCCCTCGGCAGTTTGCCCTCGCTCAGCGTTCACCGGCCCTCTGCTGCTGCACCAAGTGGGCGCGCGTCGACACCTCGTCAGTGACTTGCAGCACAGCCCAGTGCGAGATACAACGCAAAGGGCATGGCCAAGAGTGAAGCGGGAGACAGCGTTCGCACGGCTGCCCGCGCGCGCGCGGCGGCGCGGCACAAGACGAGGGGCGCGCGCCGGCGCAGCAGCCCGCCTTTGCTTGCCAGCCACAGCGCATGCAACGATGGCAACACAGCCAAGGCGCCAAACGGGTCCAAGCACTCATGCGTGTTGTCAATTGCAGTACAAGTACATCGGCCGCCCATGATGGCGGCTCAGCGGCGCGGTCCCAGTCTATTGTTGCGGCGAGCGCGGATTTGACGCCGCAAAGGCGTCGCCGAGGTCGTAGCGCTTCACGATGCTGGGGGCGGGGGTGCCAGGCTCAGCCCGCTGCGTGTGCTGACCGGAACGCATGCGCATGCAAGGAGAGACTCACTTGGCCGCATACGGATGCGCCTCGTCGGGAAAGATCTTGAGGCGCTCGAGCCGCCGGTCGCGCAGCTTGTTCTTCGGCAGCATGCCCGAGACGGCCTTGCGGATGATCTGTGGGCGGTGCGGCGCGCGGCGATGTCAGTAAGCCCGGCCCCCACGATGGCGGATGCAAGTCAGAACAGCAGCTCGACGGCTGCACATGCGGCGAGACATTACGGCCGCAGTGCGCGATGTCCCCCCCCCCCCCGCCCATCCTTCCCTCCACGCTCGGGCTGCGGCCTGTGAGCCAAGAGCTGGCCCCTCCACCTGCTTGACCTCGATGCAACCCTCTCTCCGCCATGCCGACGCCCATCTTGCGCCACTTTGCATTCTCTGCGCTCTGCGCGCCCACTTACCTCCTCGGGCTTGGTGGCCATCATGGTCTGGTACTTGATCTCCTTGAGGCCGCCGGGGAACATGGTGTGGTGGCGATAGACGATCTGCTGCTCCTTGTTGCCCGTGACGACGACGTGGCGCGCATGCGTGACGACGACGTAGTCGCCCGCATCCTGGCTCTGGTCGTGCAGGCCGGGCGGCTTGTGCTTGCCGGCGAGGACGAGGGCGATGCTGCGCGCCAGCTTGCCCAGCACGCGCTCGCGCGCCGAGACGAGGTGCCAGGCGCGCGTGAGCGCCAGCGTGGTCTGTGTTGTGTGTGCAGCAGCATCAGTAAGGCGCAGAGGGCAGTGCTGCGCGGCAGACGCACGTTGCCGATGGCCTGCGACATGCTGCGTGTGGGGTGGAGAGGCAGGAGGCAGCGGCACGGCGCGCGCGGCGAAGAGGCGGCGGCGGCGCCATGGCGGGCAGCGCCGCGCGTCACGTGCAGCGGGCCGCCGCTGGGCCTGGCTGAGCTGCGCCGCCGCCGCCGCCGCGCCTCTCGTCTCCTTGCCTCCGCGACCTGCTCCCTGCTTCCTGCGCCGCGCCTCTGCCTCTCCCTCGCCCTCTCCCTCCTTCTCGCCATGGCCCTGACGCTCCCGCGCGGCGTGCGCGCCTTCAGCGTCTCGGCGCGCGCCGCCGCCGGTCCGCGGCAGGCGCGCAACGGGCAGGACCCGATGAACATCAAGGAGATGGGCGCCTTTGCCTACGACGACATCCCCTCGCTCGGCCACGCCCTGCTGGCGCGCAAGCGCGAGCTGCTGCGCTATGCGCGCATTGCCGCGACGGAGATGCCCAAGCTCAAGGGTGCGTATGTGTGTGCGGGCGGTCCACTCCGAGCTTGCCCCCCCCCCCCCCATTCCTGCCAGTGCTGACGCAGCGCGCAGAGTTCGCAAAGCCCTACGCGCCGCCCGCCGCCGACGCCGTGCTGCGTGTGCGCTCGCACCACTACCAGGGCGAGGCACACCCGGCGGCGCGCAAGACCGTGCTGACGGTGCGCGTGTCCGACCTGCTGCGCATCCAGGCGCTCGACTCCGACGCCGCGGCCCACAAGCTGCGCCTGCTTGCGGGCACGCGCTACGAGGCGCCCAGCGGCAGGCATGCCGAAGGCTCGCTCAAGATCGCGTGCGAACGCTTCCCGCACGAGGCACAGAATCTGCGCTGGGTCGCAGAGCGCGTGCAGCTGCTGTGCAAGGAGGCAAACGTGAGTCAGACACTCGGTAGCATGAGAAGAGGGGGGAGGAGGAAGGCGGGAGCGGCCAGAGCTGGAGCGCGAACACAGGTGCTGCGGCCTGCTGCGCCACAGGAGATGGTGGCGTCGAGCGAGCGCATCGACTGAGCTTCATGGCGGGCCGACTAAGGGCGCCCGAAGGGATCGTGTACCCCACAGGTCTGCTCCTGCCTACCGCCCGCCTCGCCGCCGCCGCTCTCTAACCCTCCTTCTGCCTTGCCCGCCCCCCACTGACGCCCCCCACCGCCCCCTCTTTCACAACAAACAGACAAATCCATCAGACGTCGCCTCCGTGCCGCTCGACGAGCGAGCATCTTTGGTGCGCGAGAGCAAGCGCAAGGGCCTGGCGCGGCATCAGGCGCCGACGCTGCACGACTTTCCCCAGGAGTGGCTGTGATGGGCGGCTGTGGTGTGGCACGCTTTCTCACCCTAATAGAACCTCGCTGTGTCATCATCCAATCTTGGCGCTGCGACCGCACAGGGCGGTGCTGCAGCGTTGCGTAGCGTTGCCCGAGAGGCGGCGCAAGTAGAGTAGCCAGAGCGCCGTCTCTGCAGTCGCGCAGCCCTTTGGCTTGCTTCACTCTGCATCGCGTGGGCTATCGCGTCATCATTACTCCATATCCCCCCCCCTTGCCCCGCGGCAGGGAAACCTAGACGATGCTCTCGAGCTCCTTTGCAAACTGCAGATTCGAGACGATGGTCTCCTTCTTCGGAATGGCGTCGCGCGCGCCGGCGCCGGCGAGCTTGTTTGCAAAGTGCACCGTTTGTGTCGAGGGATTGATCTGCCAGCCGCGCTGCCAGAGGAGGTAGGGGGAAAAGGTTTGAGCCTGAAAGGGCCAGCAAAGGGGGCGGTGGGTGGTGGTGGGAGCACACAGGCGGGAGACGGGCCCCAAAAGCAAGAGACAACTCACCTCGCCGGCAAACGCGCTCACGTCCTGCATGTTGTCGAAGAAGAGCAGCGTGGCGGCATCGCCCAGCGGCAGCGAGTCGTACGCCTTCTCTTCGCACGAGGCGATCTCGTGCCTTTTGTGTCGCGCGCGCGCGGCAGTGTCAGTGCCGCATGCTCAGCGCAAGGGGGGCACGCGCAGCGTGTGTGTGCGACGACTCACCGGATGGTGCGCATGAGCATCTCAATGAAGACGGCATACTCGGGCTGCGGCACCTCGTCGCGCGCGCGCCACACCTTGCTGTAGCTGCCCTCCATGAGCCAACGCTCGAGCAGCACGGGGTGCTGGATGAAGCGGCTGCCCACGAGGGCGGCGTCGAGCGTCTCGAGCACCGTGTGGAACTGCGAGATGCGGTTCGAGGAGAGCAGGCGCAGCAGCGAGAGCCCGAGCAGCGGCTCGTGCGCCGACGAGGGCGGAAGCTCGGAGCTGCGGCGAAAGGGGGCAGGACCATGGGTTCAGTGCGCGTGCTCCTCGCACGAGGGGGCAGGACCATGGGTTCAGTGCGCGTGCTCCTCGCACGAGGTTCGGCGGGTGCTACTCGCGGTGGCGTGGGCGCTGTTCGAGGTGCGGCGGGCGCTGCTGCTCACGACGGGCCCACGGCGCACGGCGCGCCGCCACACTCCACTCGGCGTGTGCATGCCGCACAGCTGTGCAGCCTGGGGCACGCCGCGCACGCTTCGAGGCAGTAGCGCTGCCCTCCCCTTCTCTCCCTCCCTCTCTCTCTCTCTCTGTGACACACGCACCGGAAGTCGTCCCAAAAGACGCCGAGCAGGCCGATGTAGCGGTCAAAGGCGGCGAGCTCGCCGCGGCGCAGCGCATCGAGGGCGCCGAGCTCGAGCACCTCGCGCGCCTGCACGAGCTGCGCGGCGGGCGTGCCGGACGGCGGACAGAGCAGGTTGTGCTGAGCCAGCGCCGCCTTTGCCTGCGCGAAGAGCTGCGGCGAGGGCGCGCTGCGCAGCTGCGGCAGGAGCGCGGCGAGGGACATGGTGTGCACAAGGCGCGGCCGGTGAGAGTGAGATGGGGTGCCGATGCGAGAGGCAGACGAGGTGCGGATGTGGCAGAGGTGTGTGCGAGGGATGGACGAGCGGGCAGGGATGGAGTCGGGGGGCTGCCTCTGGGTGAGGTGAGGCGCTCGGCGTTGCTGCCGGTGCCGTCCGTGCAGTGCAGGTGCGGCCGCGCGTCGCCCTGGCGCCAGACAGCGTGGGAGCAGCGGGTGCGGCGCTGCTCGGCCGATGCGCGCCGTGCCAAAGTGGAGTGCGGCGGCCTGCGCGCCGGATGCACCGGCCGGGCGGGCGGTGCAGCGGTTGAGCGGCACAGCCGCACCGAGAGCAACGTCGAAACGAGCGAGCGCGGCCCGAGAGGGGCAGCCGCCGGCAGCTCGGAGCAGCGCCTGCTTCACACCCACCACACCCTCACACACACACGCACGCAAGCCACACCCGCGCCATGTCCACGTCGGCGCCGCCGCCGGCCTCGGCGCCGCCGCAGCCGTCGCGCTGGTCGCGCTGGGGCATCGCCGGCGTCAAGAAGGTCAGTGCGCCGCCACTTTGGCTCGAGGCGCACGCAGCAGGCAGAGAGGGAGCAGCGGCAGGGCGGAGGCCGTGCCGTGCCTCGTGCCGTGTAGCTCAGGTGTGGCATGCACCCCAGCCGCGCTGTCTCTCCGCCCTCTCGGCCTTGTCCGCGCCAAGCTGACCTGCTCCACGCCAGGGCGTCGCCATCTCGGACTGGGCCTCCGGCTACGCCAACTCCGTCTCGGCCAGTGCGTCGCGCGCGCCCGTGTCCACACCCCCGAGTCTCGCACACGCGGCGCCGATTTGCTGACTGCTGATTGGCTGATGTGCTGGCAGAGATCGGCGGCGAGCGCTTCTGGCCGTCGAGCAACGACATGCCGCTCGAGCTGGACAAGTGCGAGCGCATCCTGCGCGCCTTTACCGTCGAGGGCATTCCGCAGAAGGAGGAGAAGGAGGAGGAGGTGCCCGACGGCAAGGGCGGCATCCTGCGCAAGAAGCGGCGCGTGCTCAAGAAGATCGTGAGTGTGCCTGTGCCGAGGGGAAATGCCGGTGCGGCGGCCCGGCGCAAGAGGTTGAGGAGGGGCAAAGGGGGCTGACGTCCTCCTCAGCCGCCGCAGGCCATCGCGCGCGCACGCGGCATCTGCATCTACTCGTCGATGCGCTCCGGCATTGCGCCGCTGGGCGGCTCGGGCGGCGCCGGCATCGTCATGGCGCGCCTGCCCGACGGCAGCTGGTCGGCGCCCAGCGCCGTGTCGCCCAACAATCTCAGCGTGGGCCTGCTGCTGGGCGTCGACTTCTTCGACGTCGTCCTGCTGCTCAACTCCGACAAGGCCGTCGATGGCTTCAAGACGCACAAGTTCACCGTCGGCGCCGAGACGGCCGTGGCCGCGGGCCCAGTCGGCAGCGGCACGAGCATCGAGAGCGGCATGGACCGTGCGCCCATCTACTCCTAGTGAGACGTCCTCTCATGGCTCAAAGGCAGCGCAGGCTCACATGCCTTGCTCGCAGTGTGCGCAGTCGCGGGATGTACGCCGGTGTGGAGGCCATAGGACAGGTCTTCTTTGACCGCTTCGACGAGAACGAACGGTGAGCTCGACGCGCGCTTGGCGGAGGCGAGCGCAGCTGAGCGCCGGCCTGGATGTGGCGCAGCTTCTACTACCACCCCGGCATCAAGGCGGGCGACATTCTCTCCGGCAAGGTGCGCATGCCGCCGCTCGCCGCCTCGCTGCACCGCGCACTGCGCGATGCGGAAGCAGGCGTGGCGCAGGGCGGCTCGCTCGAGCGCACCGTGTACGACGTGGTGCGGATACCCGAGTCGGAGGTGATGAAGCGTCTCGGCCCCCATGCGCGCAAGGCAGCATCGGCGCCGGCGGGCACGAGCACGTTTGCCGAACGACGCAGCGGCGAAGAGTCGCAGGCGGGCGCAGAGCGACGCGTCGTGGCCGTGAATGGCGAGGGCGCGTACGAGGGCGAGGAGAATGAGGAGGACTTGGTGCGCGAGGGCGAACGCCTGCGTCTGCCGCCGACACCACAAGAGCTCGAGGCGCTGGAGCAGGCTGGCATTCCGGATGAGGAGGATTTGAAGTTTGAGCGCGAAGAGCGCGAGGCCGTGTACAAGCTGCCTCCGCCTCCCGTTCGTGAGTAGGGATCTGACATTCGATGCGCGCGTACGGGCGCTAACACTCACCGGGCAGACCATCGCGTCGAGACGCACTGGAAGACACATCCCACTCTTGCCGCGAAGCGCCGCAGGACACAATTGACCATCGACGGCCCGTACGAGGCATCTCAGCGGCAGGCGCAGTATGTGCCACTGCCGCCCTCTCCCGTCGCCAAGGACGGCAGGCGCGACGAGCTCCTTCCAGAGTCAGGCGTGCTGGGCCTCCAGAACGTCGGCTGGCTCTCGCACGAAGACGACGACGAGAACGAGGCGCGCACGCCCTCTGCGCAGAAGGACGATGGGATGCTGGCGCACGCCGGCGCCGAGACGCTGGCGCACGCCGGCGCCGAGACGGAGGCGCAGCGCCTCATGTCTGGCCTGTCTCTCGATGGTGAGGCTCAAGCTGCGCCTGCGCGCGCCGAACGCCAAGTCGACGAGGCCTGCTCCCCGGCGTCCGGCCTCGAGCCTTCGCCGCTGATCAGCGAGAAGGCGCTTGCGCCGCCGCAAGACGCGCCCAGCAGCAGCGCCGCTGCGTCTCAAGCTGTTGCGGACGCGCCGCCGCGCGCGCTCGGCGAGCAGAGACGCGAATCGACGGTGTCGAGCTCGACGAGCCGTGGCGTGTCCGGCTTCGAGTCTGCCGAGCAGAGTCCGCAGGTGTGCAACAACAGCACGCTGCACGACGCTCCACTGATCGTCGAGCCCGCCGGCTCCGTCTCGCCGCTGTCTGCGCCCCTCACTGCCCCAGCGCGCAGCAGTGCCGCGGCGGCGCTCGCCAGTCCTCGGCTGCCGCCGCTCGAGGCCTTGGAGCTCTCTGCGCGCGCCTCGCTCGACGCCGCCGCCGCCGCCGCCGCCTCCTCTTCGCCGCGCGTCTCGCCACGCACTTCGCCGCTCGCCTCGCCGCTCAGCCACGCGGCCACGCTGCCGGCGTCCGTGTCGAGCGCCTCGGTCGCCAGCGTCGGCGGCATGGCGACGCCGCCGGCGCGGCCGCCGCGCGGACAGCGCCCCGCTCGCTCTGCGGCGCGCGGCACGCCCTCTGCGCCCGTCACGCCGCTTGCCAGTAGCGATACGCCGCTGCCGGAGAGCGAGACGCACGCGAATGAGCAGCAGGGCCAGGCGTTGTAGATGGCCTCGGCACGCGCGCTCGCGGCGCATCTGTACATGTTTAGCCTTGCTCGCCCTCGCGCGACGCCTCGTCACGTTTTTCCGACGCCTGTTTCTTGATGCTGCTCCCAGCCTAATGCCATGTACAGTACCTGCGCTCTAGGATCGGCGGCAGGGGGCGTGCGGAGGGTGGAGAAGGAGAGATGGGAGTGGGGGCGGGCGGCGCACGTGACGCGTGGGAGAGCGACGGCGGCCGGCGCTGGCCGTCGCGGCAGGGGCGAGCGCGACGCACGGCCATGGCCAGCACCAGCGATGGCGCCGGGCGGCGACAGGCAGCAGCAGCGTCGCGAGTGCCCCTTCCTACCCGACACCATCCTCCACCCCAGCCTGCGCCATGGCGACCCACCGCGACGCCAACTTCCCCTCGACGCCGTACATTGAGCCTGCGGGCGCGCCGGCGAGCCAGCCGCGCGTCGACGAGGTGGGCACGACGAGTGCGCCGCTCAAGAGCGCCGCCTTCTTCCTCGCCGAGCACTGCCGCGCGGTCAACGAGGACTTTATGCTGTGCAAGAACGAGGACCGCAACCCGGAGCACTGCCTCAAGGAGGGCCGCCGCGTCACGCGCTGCGCCCAGGATCTGTGAGTCTGGGGGGGTGAAGCAAGCGGGAGGCAAGGAGAGGCCAAAGGCGGCCCCCGAGGGCTGCGGCAATGGGCGGCGAGGCGCCGCACAGGCACAAGCGGCGGCGGCGGCGGCGGCGGCGGCGGCGCAGCAGCACAGTGCCTGCTGCGCTGCCTACCGCTTTGCGCCCCCCGTTGGCTGCGAGAAGATGCGGCAAAGGCGCATGTCCAGAGTCAAGTCTGCTCCAGGCCGGCGATCGGCCCCCCATACACGGCGGGCTGTCTCTGCTCTCTCCGTACCAGCACGCCCCTCCGCGCAAGAACGTTCTGATTGCTTCAGTGCCACTAATGCAAGCCTGCTCCCCCCCTGTGCCGCCCAGCATCCGCAAGATGTCCGAGTCGTGTGGCAAGCAGTGGGAGGAGCACTGGCAATGCCTCGAGCGGCACAACCAGGTGCGTGTGTGTTGTTTGCGTGCTACACGGGGGTGGGGGGGGGGGGGGGGGGGCGTCCGGCCCAGCCCAGGAGGGGGCGCAACTCAAGCCTTTTGCCGGTTGCTGATTCTCTCTGCCCATCTGCACATCTGCGCCTCCTCCTCCTCTCCAGGAGCTGTACATGTGCCGCAAGCCGGAGCGCACGCTCAACCAATGCGTCTTTGACAAGCTGGTGCGTAGCGCCGCTGCTGCTGCTGCTCTCGAGAAGGCGGCATGCCTGGGGCCTGGGAGGCAAGGCGGGTTGCTCTGGTGGAGGGGCCGCAC